AGTGATGAGGCACTGGATAAGGTATTGGTGTTGTACAACAGAGTGTGGGAGGAGGGGAAACTACCAGGCAGTTGGAAGGAGGCAGTAGTGGTACCAATCCGGAAGCCCGGGAAGGATCCAACGAAGCCAACAAGCTAGCGGCCAATAGCTTTAACATCACATGTATGTAAGATTATGGAACGTATGATTACGGAGAGGCTAACTTACTTCCTGGAGAGCAGGGGGCTAGTATCGCCACATCAGAGTTGGTTCAGGAAGGGTAGGGGAGATATGGATCCAGTGCTCTGCTTAGAAGCAGAGGTCAGGAAGGATCATGTGAACAAGGAGACTGTTGTAGCTGTCTTTTTTGATGTGGAGAAGGCATATGATATGATGTGGAAGGAGGAGTTGTTAATCAAGCTTGATGTTATGGGGGTAGGAGGAAGAACGTACAACTGGATAAAGGATTTGCTGTTTGGAAGGTCTATCCAGGTGAGGGTGGGGAAGTCTTTATCAGGCAGCTACTTGGTGGATAACGGTACACCACAGGGGAGCGTGATTAGTCCTCTGTTGTTCTCAATCATGATCAGTGATGTTTACTCTCAGGTACAGCCTGATATAGGGAGGTCGTTATTTGCAGATGATGGGGCCTTATGGAAGAGGGGAAGAAATGTGCCATACATAGTCAGGAAGGTACAGGAAGCAGTTGATGAGGTAGAGTGGTGGGCATTAATGTGGGGATTCAGGTTCTCTGTAGAGAAAACTCAAACAGTTCTTTACCAGGAGGAGAATGGGTGATGAGGTATGTTTAAGGTTATATGGGAGAAACTTGGAGAGGGTGGGGGGCTTCAGGTTCCTTGGGGTATAGTTTGACACTAGACTGACCTGGGCAGAACACATTGAGAGAGTGGTGGGAAAGTGTAAGAAGGTGCTAAATGTGATGCACTGTCTGACGGGGAAGGAGTGGGGGGCTGGGCGTTCCTCATTGAAGACCGTGTATGTTGCTTTGATCCGATCTGTAATAGACTGGCAATATAGCATATGGTTCGGTAGCCCGGACCTCACTGGAAAGGCTAGATGTTATACAGGGGCAAGGACTCAGAATATGTAGTGGGGCGTTTCGGACGTCCCCAGTGGCTGCATTACAGGTGGAGATGGGGGATATGCCATTGCAGATTAGGAGACAGCAGCTGGCAATGAATTATTGGGTCAACCTACAAGGACATGGGGTGTCTCATCCTGCGAAAGGGATTTTACAGGCATGCTGGGAACATGATGGATACTCCCGCCTCCAGTAGTTGATCTAGAAGTGTTGGAGAGACTACAGAAAGATAGGGAGGGTGTTGATCCAGCTGATTTCTTTAAGAGACATCTGGAAACTGAGTATCAGGATTTTGTGGCCATTTACACAGATGGTTCAAAAGATCCAAGGACAGGACGTACTGGGTCAGCATTTGTAGTGCAGGAATGTGGGGTGGAAGTCAGGAAACGTATTACAGATCATCTGGCTGTATATACGGCGGAGCTGATGGCCATACCGTTGGCCTTTTTTTTTTTTTTTTCACCTTTATTTAACCAGGTAAACCAGTTGAGAACAGGTTCTCATTTACAACTGCGACCTGGCCAAGATAAAGCAAAGCAGTGCAATAAAAACAACACAGAGTTACATATGGGGCAAAAAAACATAAAGTCAAAAATACAACAGAAAATATATATACAGTGTGTGCAAATGTAGCAAGTTATGGAGGTAAGGCAATAAATAGGCTATAGTGCAGAATAATTACAATAGTATTAACACTGGAATGCTAGATGTGCAAGAGATTATGTGCAAATAGAGATACTGGGGTGTAAAAGAGCAAAATAAATAACAATATAGGGATGAGGTAGTTGGGTGGGCTAATTTCAGATGGGCTGTGTACAGGTGCAGTGATCGGTAAGGTGCTCTGACAACTGATGCTTAAAGTTATTGAGGGAGATAAGAGTCTCCAGCTTCAGAGATTTTTGCAATTCGTTCCAGTCATTGGCAGCAGAGAACTGGAAGGAATGGCGGCCAAAGGAGGTGTTGGCTTTGGGAATGACCAGTGAGATATACCTGCTGGAGCGCAGACTACGGGTGGGTGCTGCTATGGTGACCAATGAGCTAAGATAAGGCGGGGATTTGCCTAGCAGTGATTTATAGATGGCCTGGAGCCAGTGGGTTTGACGACGAACATGTAGTGAGGACCAGCCAACAAGAGCGTACAGGTCACAGTGGTGGGTAGTGTATGGGGCTTTGGAGACAAAACGGATGGCACTGTGATAGACTACATCCAATTTGCTGAGTAGAGTGTTGGAGGCTATTTTGTAAATGACATCGCCGAAGTCAAGGATCGGTAGGATAGTCAGTTTTACGAGGGCATGTTTGGCAGCATGAGTGAAGGAGGCTTTGTTGCGAAATAGGAAGCCGATTCTAGATTTAACTTTGGATTGGAGATTCTTTATGTGAGTCTGGAAGTTGAGTTTACAGTCTAACCAGACACCTAGGTATTTGTAGTTGTCCACATACTCTAGGTCAGACCCGTCGAGAGTGGTGATTCTAGTCGGGTGGGCGGGTGCCAGCAGCGTTCGATTGAAAAGCATGCATTTAGTTTTACTAGTGTTTAAGGCCTTGCAGTGGGTGGAGGAAGTCAAACAAGACAGAGTAGTTATTTGCTCTGATTCATGTGCAGTGTTAATGAGTCTCCAGTCCTTTAGCTCACGTAGCAGACAAGACCTGCTTTATGAGGTGCTACAAACCCATGGCAGGATTAAACAGATGGGTATTCAGATAAGATTTACTTGGGTCCCAGCCCATGTGGGGGTGGAGGGGAAAGAGGCAGTAGATGAACAGGCTAAACAAGCACTTAGTAGTGGGGATGTTGATGTTGAAGTTTCAATGAGCAAGGCAGAGGCAAAAATACTGATATATACAGTGATGGTGCAGAGATGGCAGGAGCAGTGGAATATAGATAATAAGCAGAGGTGTAGTCCAGGGTATACGCTGGTATACGGCGTATACCTACTTATTTTTCAGTCAGCATTGCGTATACCCAGTGGTGTAGTGGAGGGTATACGCAGGTATACGCAGTATGCCCACTTATTTTTCAGTGGGCATTTCGTACACTCACTTCTTAATCCCCACTGATGTGTATCAAAGTAGTGTGGTGGAGGTATACGCCATCTCAATTAATAAGGCTGATGGAACTGATCAGAATGTTTAGCTTAAAATGTTGACAAACTATTATTTCTCCACATTTTACGCGCAGCAATGTGCACACGGCGGAAGGCCTACGCGTGAACGTTCTAACACGCGATTGCGGAATAAACACCGTTCTAAAAATGCGCACCGCACATACGAGTGGTTTCATGGACAGAGATGGAAATATCCGTTAGAAATGTAGAAAGAGGTGGGATTTAAAGATGCAACAACTGTAATGTGTTGCTAATATGACTATGCCTTTGGCTGCTAGACAATGAAAGAAAGTTGAACAGGAGAACGCATAATGAGTATGTCTTTATAAAAATAATTGCCTCCACGTTTCTATGGTGGGATTTTGGCTATAGGCTACTACTTTGAAGCTAGGTAAGACATGCATCACATAATGAAGTAAAACGTTCAGGTGTCAAATAATTAAGGAACAGGAAAAATATAGCACTGCTAATGATAGGTCTAACTGTCTTCTGGTAGATGGAAAGGCTTTCCCAAAAATCTCCTTTATTAAATGTTAACTAGCTACAAAGTAGCCTATGCCTACCTGTCAGAATGATATGATGATTATTTGTATCAATCTAGTGTCCTTTTTTTTTGTTGCGTACTCCATCTCATGTGCAACAGAAACACCACTAACCAAACAAAAGTGCCTGCACACTTGAATTAAAGGACAACTACACTCAAAAATCAAAATTTCTTCAAAAGTGGTCTCCTGATGTTGTTCAAGCATTGTTATGGACTTAGAATATACAATTGTGATTTTCTTCTGTAAAAAAAACTGTGAGAGCAAAAACCTGAAAAAATGGGGGAAAATCTGAAACCTTTGAATTTCTGACTCATTCAGAGTGTATGTCACTGTTTTTCATAGAACTTTTCACACAGGGCGCCTTTCCTTCGCCGGGCGGGCCATTTGGACATTTCTTGGCAAAATTAGAGTATACCCACTTCTCCAGGCAAAATTAGAGTATACCCACTTCTCCAGGCAAAATTAGAGTATACCCACTTCTCCAGGCACCACTACACCACTGATAATAAGGGAAGGCATTTATTTCAAGTACAGAGGAAAGTTGGGGAGGGGAGGACGGCAGGAAGGGACAGAAGATAGGAGGCTATTTTTACAAGATTAATGGTGGGACACAGCCAGTTGAATAAGACATTAAATGTGATAGGAAAGAATCCAACAGGAAAGTGTGATTATTGTCAGGAAACAGAGTCTGTGGATTATGTATTGCTACAGTGTGGGCAGTATCAGAGGGAAAGAGAGAGGATGAGATCTAGTATGAGGGAGAAGGGGATACAGGAAATTAGTTTAAAGAGTATATTGAGTAGAACGTAATTAGATATAGTCTCAAATATTTTGTTATCTTTTTTAAGAGAAACGGGGCTGGCAGGTTGGATTTAGTTTCTCCCTGTATCTGGCCCACACTCCAGTACAGTAGGTGCCGGTAATGTACCATAACGGTGGATGCCAACCGCCAATAAATCCCACTGAAGAAGAAGAAGAAGAAGAAGAAGAAGAAGAAGTCTCAAGAAGTTTAGTGGGCTGACGTGTAATTCCTCCTGACATTTTCCTGTCAGAGGGGCGCTAGAGAGCTGATGGCCAATAACATGCTATTCCTGAATGATGCACAGTTGGGATATTTCGTGTTAAAAATGTGTATGTACTAGCTTATTTAAATTGAACTGCTACTTTTTACATTCATTGGGTTCATTGATTGTTTCCACACTACCGGGAAAATAGTACGTTTTATGGCTTTTCATTTTAACCCCGGGATATTTTATTGTTGTGCAGCTGCGGGGATGGAATGTTTTGTTTATACTAGCTATGTTTGTGTGTTACTGAATTTGTCTCGAAGTTACAATTACTTATTTCATATCGATTTGACAGTTTGACTTTGCTGACTTGGGGCTTGAGTCGTAACCAACTGGCTAGCCGCTGCCACATCTAAGGGCAGCCAAGGTATGGTTTTAGAGCCTTTATTATAGCCTAACATGGTAGCTACCTAACAAACTTACCCTATTTACTAATTTGGCTAGACGATACAATGCGCGTTTCAAAACGTACCTAGCTGTGTTCCAAATAACGTGCATACACTGTTTACATTTGTTCCTCGAGTAAAGATGATCGAGGTGGTGGCCTCTATGGCGCGAGGCCCGGTGTTCCTGGCCGGGGAGATGATGGAGTGTCTCATCACCTTCACCAACCCCATGTCTCACCTCTCCACCTCCGCCAGCAGGTCTCTCTCTCTCTCTCACTCACTCACTCACTCGTTCACACTCCACACATTTTTCTTCAGTGTCCTCCCCCGTTAACCTTGCCACCACTGCTGAAAAACTCCTAGGGAAACACTGATATTCATGCATTATGTAAGTCTTACAGTTGGGTAAAATGGCTCAACACCACTTAAACCCATGTCCTCTCTCCCTGTGTCAGTGAGATGCTGGCGTGGGCCAGTGCCCAGATCCACTGTCAGTTCCATGGCAGTGAGAGCAGAGTGGCCCTGCCAGCCCAGGGCACCAAACAGGATGTCCAGGCAGAGAGTGACACAGTCCTCATCCCCAGCAGAGGTGAGTGGAGGGATGGACAGAATGGGGAACAAAAGAAAGTAAAGAGAGCTTCGCGATGGAGCGAGATTGGTCGTGTTCCCCAGCAGAGGCATGGCATTGCATCAACCAATGGTTGCGTATCACGCCAACAACTGTGCAGTCAGGCACCAGATTGCTATAACATATACTGTGGTTAGCTGATATGTTTTACATTACATTTTTTTAAAACATTTTAGTCATTTAGCAGATGCTCTTATCCAGAGAGACTTATGGATGGACAAGTGTCAAAATGCAACTAATATTTACATTTTAGATACGTTCTTACTTTTACCCATGTGGTCAGTATGAAGCGCCTCCCCGAAGCCTTTAGACCTCTGCACTCCAATGTGTTTCTGCTCCCTGGGCAATCACATGGCTGTTACTGTACATATCCAGTTTGTCCGAGCCACCATGACTGTAAATGATCCTTGTGATGGCGATTAGAGTCCTAAGAACCCCCCCTCTCCTGGGTATGTTCATGTACTGTATGCTCATGCTTGCTTGACACCCTTCAACCACTGTCTTCACCAGGAGAGCGAGGGCAGTGCATGCTGGACACCCCTCCCAAGATACTATTCTGTGACCTGTGTCTGGACCCTGGAGAGAGCAAAACCTGTAAGAGCACACAACCCTGACTCTATAACATACACCGGAGTATAGCTATAATCAGAGTTCAGGGGGGATTCACTCAATCATCTGTCTCTCTCTCTCGCTTTCTCTGTCTCACGCGCACTTTCTGTCTCTCTCTCTCGCTTTCTGTCTCTCTTTTGCTTTCTCTCTCTCGCTTTCTTTCTCTCTCTTGTTCTCTCTCTCTCCTCCTTCAGACTCGTACAGTGAGGTGGTGCCCAACCATGGCCCCCCTAGTTTCTGTGGCCAGTCAGTGAAGTATTTCTATAAGCTGACCATCGGGTGCCAGAGGGTCAACTCCCCCATCAAACTCCTGCGGGTCCCCTTCAGAGTCCTCGTCTTGCACGGTGAGCTACCCTCTCACTTCGTCTAATCTAACAGAAGCACACCTCACATCAGGGTTGTGTTCAGTAAGGAGAAAATGTTTTGAAACCGTGATATACTACCTTAATTTGTGCAATAAGAACATTGATTTTCCTTTTCCGTGGCAAAACGCTTTGCCACTCTATGCCCTATGTATGAAATACATTTTACGAAGATGTTTTTCTTTCGCCTATAAAATGTTGGTGTCCCCTCTGTAGGCATGCCGGAGCCCCCGTTCCACCAGGACGAGGAGGTGACTCCCTCTAACCCCTTCCTAGAGGAGGAGGAGGGTGGCCGCAGAGACGCCAGACCCCTGGAGATGGCCCTGGACATGTTGATGATCTCCACCTCGCGCCGCTGTCCCCGTGAGTCTCTGGCCCTCCCAGTCTGTGTCATCTAAATGATACCCTATTCCCTTTATAGTGCACTACGTTTGACCGGAGCCCTACAGTATGTGACAGCTCTTCATGTGTGCCTTTTCCCGTTATATCTTATTTGTGTTCCACATCATCTATGTGATGTACTGAGTTTTTTTGGGGCAGACTATGATCCATGGTCTCTAATCTATCCCACTGTTTGTTTGCTTGTTTTTGGGTGTTTACCAGCACTTGACATGCATATGACCTTTGACCTCACCACAGATCTGTTCAACATCACCAACATGCGTGGGAAGGTGGCCAAGTTTTGCATCTTCAAGACCGTCTACAGACTAGGGGAGGATATCATTGGCACCTTCAACTTCTCAGAGGGGGACATTCCCTGTATACAGGTGTGTGTGTGTGTGTGTGTGTGTGTGTGTATATCTGACTCTGTCATATTTTTTACCTGAATGAAGATATTAAGTGTCTGTGTGTGTGTCAGTATTCGGTCAGCCTGCAGAGTGAGGAGGAGATCCAGCAGGGGTACCAGAGGCATCCCGATCAGTCGATCAGTGTGACGGGTCACGGTCGTCACCTAGAGTCCTGCCTCCACACGGCCTCCAGCCACTTCTCCCTCCCTGTCCCCCTCAACGTTACCCCCGGCTTCAGCACAGATATCGGTACGTAACCCAATCTCAACTCTCTACACACACACACCGTCCCCCTAACGTCATCCCCGGGTTCAGGACAGACATTGGTACGTAGCCTAGTCTGCTTACTTATTTACCTACTTAGACCCATCTCTCCTCAGTCACCGGTTGCGTTCCAAATACCACCCTTTCCCTATGGGCCCTGGTCAAGTTGTGCACTATACAGTGCCATGAAAAAGTATTTGCCCCGTTTCTGATTTTCTATATTTGTGAATTTTTACGACACAATGTTTTTAGATCTTCACCCAGAACAGAATTCATGGTTCCTTCAATGATGGCAAGTTGTCCAGGTCTTGATGCAGCGAAGCATCACACAATCACACTACCACCACCATGCTTGACCATTGGTACGAGGTTCTTACTGTGGAATGCAGTGTTTGGTTTTCGTGAGACATAACGGGCCACATGTCGTCCAAATATATCCACTTTTGACTCATCTGTCCATAGAACATTCTTCCATGAGTCTTGACAATCTTCCAGGTGACCCATGTCGACTATTTGGACGACATGGGTCCCGTTATGTCTGGTGAAAACCAAACACTGCATTCCACAATAAGAGCCTCCTACCAACAGTCAAGCATGGTGGTGGTAGTGTGATGGTTTGGAGATGCTTTGCTGCCTCAGGACCTGGACGACTTTCCCTCATTGAAGGAACCATTAATTCTGCTCTGTATCAGATAATTCTACAGGAGAATGTCAGGCCATCCGTCCGTGAGCTGAAGCTGAAGCACAGCTGGGTCATGCAGCAAGACAATGATCCAAAACACAAGCAAGTCTACATCAGAATGGCTGAAAATAAACAGATGTAATGTTTTGGAATGGCCTAGTCAAAGTCCAGACCTAAACCCGATTGAGATGTTGTGGCAAGACCTGAAATGAGCAGTTCATGCTTGAAAACCCTCAAATGTTGCTGAGTTAAAGCAGTTCTGCATGGAAGAGTGGGCCAAAATTCCTCCACAGTGATGAGACTGATCAACAACTACAGGACGTTTTCGCTTGCAGTCATTGCAGCTAAAGGTGGCTCAACCAGTTATTGTGTAAGGGGGCAATTACTTTTTCACACAGGGGTATTGGTTGTTGCATAACTTTGTTTTATAAAATAAATGAAATAATTATCAAAATGTTGTTATTTGTTCACTCAAGTTCCTTTTATCTAAATTAGGTTTTGGTTGAAGATATAAAAACATTCAGTGTCGAAAAAATATGCAAAAATAGAGAAAATCAGAAAGAGGCAAATACTTCTTCACGGCACTGTATAGTGAATAGGATGCCATTTGGGACAGGGCCCTCCACTCTCGTCTCCCTGTCCTTGGTTTATTATTAGTGAGTAGCCTGCCCTGCTTTTTGTTTATTATCTGGCTTAGCAGAGAGGGTTTGAGCACTTGACTAGAAGGACCATTGTTCTCACAGATTACCGAGGATGCTGCTCAGTGCCATCACAATAAGATGGTTTCCCAGACACAGATTAAGCCTAGTCTTGGTCTAAGATGGACTTTCAATGGTGAATTTCCATTGAACATGCTTAAACTTTTTTTGGGGGGATAAAGACTAGGTTAAATCTGTATGGGAATCCATCCATAAGAGTAGCTCCTCAACCTTCTCAGCGTCCTTCTGCCTGTACAGCCTAACTATACTTCAGACACTTCTATGACAACCTAAATGAATTATGACATGTTCAACTTGTACACAGTGACCCTGCGATGGCGTCTGCACTTTGAGTTTGTCACATCCCGAGAGCCCATGGAACCGCCTACCGTGCTGCAGAACCAATCAGAGGTCACTTTGTGGACGGGGGCGGAGCATGTTGACGTGGATACGTTCAGTTGGAACCTGCCAATCAAAGTGCTCCCCACCAATCCCGCCCTGACGTCCTACGTCTCCCAGTTCACAGGGACCAACAGCATCAACATTTGAGCGTGTGCGCGTGAGGAGTGAAGGAGGGTTATATTTGCACGAATGGTGATGTAAAGCAGGCAACTATTTTTTTGTGTTTGATATTTTAACATATTATGCAGTGCATCCTATAATTTTGGGGGGATTGCCTCCTTCCTTTTTTTATATAGCTAAAAGATGATGACAACCAATGTAATATGCTACTGTCTGTCTGTGGGGTCATTTACATTTCTGTATTAATTTTTTATCCCTTCATTCAAAACCCCCCCAAAATACAGTCCATAGATTTGTCACGACATTTATTGGTATTTCATATTCAAGAGCTTTGTGCTCTACAACGGTTGTATTCTATTGTATTTTTTCATTGTGAACGAAAGACGGTTCAACAATGTGAATCATGAATAAAAAAGTGGGTTTTGAGTTTGATGTGAAAATGTGAATAGACTGCTTTTAACCACATACAAATCAACAAAATACCAAGTTTCACTGAATGATAATTTTATTTAGAGGATAACTGAATAACTGCAATACAGAACAAATACAACAAGAATTGTTATATATTACTATAAGAGCTGATATTTACAGTAGTGCAAAACAGTGTGCCATACATGTGGGATTACATTATGTGGGCTCACCTCTGCATTCCAACTGAGTATAATGTTCTGCTTATGGTACAGTATATTGTAATATTCATGCGGTTTAAATGTTAACGGATTACTGGTCTGCAACACGTGAGAATGTAGTGTTTGGAGTAGACAGACAGACTGGGGTGGTCGGTGGTGGAGGGAGTTGATCATCCGACTTCAGTGGAGGCTGGTCCCACTTTAAATCAGAGAACAGGCTCATTTTAATGGCTGGAATTAAATGAGCCCGTTCTTCGATTTCTCCCTCCACCAGCCACTGTGATTCCGTCCCTGTCTACTCCGCTAGCTGCAAGTAGTTGTCCAGTGAGCCGTGGCTGGGGTCCAGGTTGTGTCCATCCCCGGGTCCGCAGGGCAGGCGGGGGTCAGCGCTCTGAACGAGGGTCATCTTACAGGTCAGAGTGTCCACCCGAACCTCACACCACGCTGGGAAGTCCACCGGGTGATGCACCCTGTATGGAGAGAGAGAGAGGTTGTTGAGCTGGTAGTCTGAAGGTTTTCAATGGCTTGCTTTACATACATTTACATTTTAGTCATTTAGCAGACGCTCTTATCCAGAGCGACTTACATGAGCAATTAGGGTTAAGTGCCTTGCTCAATGGCACATCGACAGATTTTTCACCTAGTCGGCTCGGGGATTAGAACCAGCGACCTTTCGGTTACTGGCACAACGCTCTTAACCACTAAGCTACCTGCCACCCTAAGTACATGTATGCTTTCTCTGAAAGCATGATGATAACAATATGAAGTAACAACGCCACATAGATAATGTAGAACAGCTCTAAGTATTTCAGAGCCTGGGGAATATAGTTCCTTGCATTTATTTTAAAATCAAAACTATAATTATTAGATCATATTTAGAGAACAAAAAGCAAAATTCCCTTACAAGGACCTCTGCATCTGGACACAATTTGCATGGCTGTATTGCATGGCAAGCTTATCCCAACCATGGCAATCTCGTTCCTATTCCCACCGCTGCAACCCAGAAAGGCACATTGATCACAGGTGCGTAGTGTACTCACGTCTCGCAGCAACCGACGCCGACAGGGTGCAGACAGGTACACTGCAGACAGCCATCCTCCATCCAGGACTCCCCCAGAGAGTAGTGTCTCCCCTCATACACACACATGGCTAGGGTAGAGAGAGTCCCCACCAAAGGTGTTACCCCAATCATACATAAACCAACCTTCATTTATCCAAATAAACTTCAACTTCAATTTATAAATCACAACTTTAACATAAACAAGTCATTTAGCACCAAAAGCAGTCTTCCCAGGCTTGAAAGTGTAGACGATGGACTTTCATTTAAGACGAACAAACCTGAATAATACCCTGAATCACCAGGTAATAAAAATATACTCTGAACTTGAAATCCATTCAACAGCTCTTCAGATTAACGCTAAACACCCTATCCCAGAGCATGGCTTTGCTTACCTTTGGAGTTGAAGTGGCACTGCATAGCAGCTCCAAGGCAGGTTGTCCAGAGCAGAGTCCCAGCCAGGAAGGTCAGTGGCCAGTTTCTCCCAACAATGGAGTCCATCATCACCATATTCTTAACGTTCTAGTTCTCGTTTTATAGTTCTAGATCTAGTTCTCAAGAGTTTTCTGATTCCTCTCCTCCACCTCGCACCTCCATTTATACCCCAACATCTTTACGACCTCAGCATACAGGGTGGAGGTGGGGTTAGTTAGCTCCATCATGAGGACCGACCAGGGTCGAGGCAGGGGTGTGGGGCACGGGGGAGGGGCATGTGGGGTGTCACAGGGTTGGATTTGGTGGGGCAAGGGGAAAAAGTCTGTGTCTTGGCACCGCCTTGACAATCCGGAGATCAGCTCCTCTTCGCTCCAGTGGCCATGACCTCTAAAATGATAGAAACACTGACACATCCTAAAATGACTAAGACTGGGAGGCTAAGAGAGAGGTGAGAGGAAGGAGGGAGGTGAGAGGGAGAGAGAGAGGGGAGAGAGATAGAAAGGAGAGCGGGAGGGGAGGCCCGTGGGGAACCAGTAACAGAGAGAGAGTAATAAATGGCTAACATGATTCATCCATTGATTAAAATCTGAACTCTTTCTGTATTCATTCACATAAGATTTCCCTATTGGGATTGATGTTAAATATCTTCATCACTATCTTACTAAGGATTCCACCTGAGGAAAAAAGTACCAGCGAGTGACTAGCTGTGTTATCTTTTACTACCAGATGTGTTACTATGTGGTTACTAAGACATTCTTACATGCAAACACAGATGCATACTGCAGATGAATTCAGCGGCCTACTGCCTCCACTGACCCCTGTCTACCTCATTTGGATGATCTCATGTGTATGATGTCATGGCGTGCTGTCATGTCTCCAATCTGTGACCTCATGTGGGCCCTGTCCAGCAGCAGCAGTCAGTCAGTCGCCCCCAGAGGAGAGGAGACGGAGACAGAGACGCTGGATGTTTGGGAGGAGGAAGCTCATAAAGGACAGGATGAGACTTTTTACTTTTATAGTGGCTGCTGCTATGGTTGCTGCAGGCAGGTGGCAGGTATGCATTTGTAGGCTTTTATACACCCAATCTTCAATTTAGGATGAAATGTGTCAGCCTGGTCTCTGTAATGTCAAATGGAAAAGGATGGAGACTCTCTCACTCTCATGTCACCAATGAACTGCTCGTCCATGAAGACACTAATGGGTGTGACACAAATTCCTTTTGTTTTAAGAGGGTTTTCCTACTCAGCACCTCTTCAAATGGCGTCAATCAAAGGGTGGGAATCCGTCAGCATCCGTCATCATCTTATTGTATAGGACCCATAGGTTCTGGGACAGGAGAATATTTAGTGCTGTGGGTTGCGTCTCAAATGCCACCCTATTCCCTATATAGTGCACTACTTTTGACCAGGCAGAGCCATACAGGCTGTGCTCAAAAGTAGTGCACTATATAGGGAATAGGGTGCCATTTGGGCCGCACTCATAATGTGCACAGGGTACTGAGGTGACAAGGTCCCAAAGTCGAGACATGTTCCTCCTCAGACTGTGACAAGTCAAGCTGTGGAGCTGGAAAGACAGGGGCAACTCTGTCATACACACACACTGAGTCACACCAATACAGGACCAGAGCACATCAAGGCCCTGCTGTCAGTAGCACCCCTGGCTGACGAGGGAGACCTATCAACACCCGGCAGACTTCTGTGGGGGTCGGAGGGAACATGGGCGTAAAACACAAATTGTGAGGCCCGCGGGGTCCATTGTGAAAAACATGTTCCCTCATCACAGGTTTTTCCTATGATCTCTGTCTGTCTGCAGATTGACAGCGAAAGTGGAAGGAGATGAGCTAATGTTTTGTTCTGGCTCAGGGAGCGTTAACTCGCTACTTCAGATAGAACAACTCTACCCGGCCAAATCACATCCCAAACAAACCCTCCTTTTTTAGGGTTTGACACTGTGTAGACACAGGAGGAGAGATTGAGTTGACTCAAACATTTACATTTTAGTCATTTAGCAGACACTCTTATGCGGAGTAATTTACAGGAGCAATTAGGGTTAGGTGCCTTGCTCAAGGGCACATCAACAGATTGTTCATCTAGTCGGCTCAGGGATTTGAACCAGTGACATTTCAGTTAATGGCCCAACGCTCTTAACCACTAGCTAACTGCTGTCATCACCCCCACACAAGACAATAACCCCACAAGACTGCCCCATGGAGATGTAGAGAGCAAGGGATGCAGTTCATTTTAAAAACTGTGCTAGTAGTGCCTATGATGGCATGTGATCCAACAGGAAGACCAACGAAGAGGGTTGGCGAATACACAATTCAAAGTAAACCATTTCATTTGCACATAGATGTGTTGCAAATCTATAATGGAACTCAAAAACCATACATTTACTTCTGTTGACTATCCCTTTAAGATTACACAGTAAACCCCGCCCCCAATGTTCCTTGTCATCCAGGAAGTAAGTGAACTATCAGACCAGCTAAATCAACATTTGAAAACAACGATTGGCAACACACGCTCTCATTGACAGTGACTTAAGAGATTGATTACGTTTTCCTGACGTGAGCTTTAGACTGTTGTGGTAACAAAAAAACATCATCAGGTCCGAAAATACATTTGTCGCTATAATGTCATTACCGTGAATCGACACGATAACATTTCGATCGGACTGATGGTCTATAAACTGACTGTATTTCAGTATTTTTTGCAAGCCAACTGTAGAGACTATTGTTTGAGCGCTACCAAGGGGATTTTTGCACTGAGGCCTTCCAAGCAAGCCCACGGTCCGGAAAGGCTAGCTAGCTACAATCCAATTTGCCTCTGCGAATTTATGAGTATCGTTAGCTAGCTTTTTGCTTGTATGTTTTAAATAAGATGGAAACAGACAAGTTTAACTATGTCTACAGTTGTGACTTGGACATTAATGTTCAACTGAAAATGTAAGTATTTTGTTACCTTGGGCTACTATGGGCCATACAAGTAGCAAGTAAACTACCTACGTTAACGCGCTCCTTAAATGTTTTGCATGCTCTTTGGGGTTTTAGGCTGGGTCTCTGTATAAGAACTTTGACATCTGCTGATGTATAAAGGACTTTATAAATACATGTGAATGATTGACGTCAACAAACAATATCAGTCAGTGTAGCTATAGCTGGCTACCTACGTCTTATTATACCTTATTGTATATTATACTTAGTCAGTGACCTAGCTAGCCTACTTCTGTCTATAACTGCGTACGGTTGAATGATAGCATGTTGACAGCAATTACGATTCACCTCGAGTCTCCAATGTTGGTTAATACCACTTTGCATGTATGACAAATGATTGCAACACTTGTCCCAAAAGTATCATTATATTACTAGTTACCCAGCTAGTTGTTTGTCTTCTATTTACCTTAGCGAGCATGGCAACACCATGACTCAACTGGTATCACGGCTCCATAACGTTCCCGGTGAGGGCTCTTATTTGGGAACACGGAAAACATCATGCACATTCCAACGGCTCATCTACCTCGCGCTCCTCTCGTGAGGTCACTTAACGAGCTATGCTTCGCTGTGGTGGCCCGTAAATAACGTTCATAATTCTCAACAAACCGTTCAGTGTAGCGCTTCCCGTTAGGCCGTTACACACTGGAATAATAGTGTGATGCATTTTGTCACAATTTGTCAGGGGACTGTTAACGTTGTCTCAACACAGCAGAATGCACAAATATATGTTCTGGGATATGCCCTGTCATTTAGCCTAGTGGCAAAACAACTAATTTAGCCAAATGTGAACATACTTGCAGGTTATCATAGATCTGTGGACCCCCAGAGTGTTAGAGCTAACGTTGATCTACTACTTTTGTCTAGATTCTAGAACTTTGGCTGAGCAGAGTGGGTAAGAATACTGCTTCTGAAAGGGGAGGATGACAAGTGACAATAGTGGTGGTGGTGTCAAACTACTTCCCTCTGTCTCACATGATCTCCCTCCTGTCCCCTCTCTCCCCCCTACAGAGGCAGCTTGGAGGGCAAGCGAGAGCAGAAGAGCTACAAGGCCCTGCTGCAGGATCCCATGCTGCGGTTCTCTGGCCTCTACCAGGAGAACTGCTCTGACCTCTATGTTACCTGTCAGGTGTTTGCAGAGGGCAAGCCTCTGGCGCTGCCCGTACGCACCTCCTACAAGGCCTTCAGTACCCGCTGGAAGTGAGTGACACAATGGCTGTGTCCCAAATGGCACCCTATTCCCTACATGGTGCACTACTTTTGACCAGGTTAGTGCACTATATAGGGAATAGGGTGCCATTTGGGACGCAACCATTATCAACTCTTTGGCCTGGTAGGTCTTTGTATCTCACATTGTAGTCCTATCTCACTATAATGGATACAAAATAATATAGTCCTTGTGAACTGTTCTGTAAACTCTCTCCCTGTTTCTCCTCCCTATCACCTCTCTCTTCCTCTCTCCCCCCCCCCTCCCTCCCTCCTTCCCCTTCCCCAGCTGGAATGAGTGGCTGAAGCTGCCAGTGAAGTACCCAGACCTGCCCCAGAGTGCCCAGGTGGCCCTGACGGTGTGGGATGTGTACGGACCGGGCCGAGCCACCCCTGTGGGGGGAACCACCGTCACCCTCTTCGGCAAATATGGGTGAGTCCGTCTCAGCAAATATCTGTCCACATACTGTATATTACTGTACTGTGGAAGAGAATTGGAATTTCAGTATACTTTCTGAATTGAAATGGAGTTGACCCCAACCCTGGCTGACTCTATATGGTAGAAGTATGTGGCAATTATTAGGGGGGGGGGGGGGGGGGACCACTCCGAAAGCCAACCAGACCATTGACTGACACCATCTCCCGTCCCCTCTCCATCTCCCCTTCTCTCTCAGGATGTTCCGGCAGGGCATGCATGATCTGAAGGTGTGGCCGGGGGTGGAGGGGGATGGAGGGGAGCCCACCAGCACCCCAGGGAGGACCAGTAGCAGTCTGGCAGAGGACCAGATGGGGCGACTGGCCAAGGTAAGCACAGGGTCAGGGGTCCCCTGGAGGGTTGGGTTTGTGTGTGTGTATTTGGGTTTGTGTGTTTGATGGCGGAGAGAGTGTTTGTGAGCACTCTGTGTGTGTGTGTGAGTGAGTGAGCATGCGTGTGTTTGACAGTGTGTGTGTGATGTACTCCTTTGAATGGACCCGTCTAAATCACTGTCTATTCCAGGCCCCTGACCTGGAGTTTCTCAGTGATGTGAGTACTAGGGGTTGGAAGGAGAGGAGAGCGGGTCGGAATGCTGGATGTGTGTATGTAGGCCTGTGTGTGTTTGTGTCTAGGTCTTTGTTGGTACATATATTATGCCCTATAGCTACTTCTTGCTGAGTGTGTGTGTGGCTTGTCCATGTTTGTTAGGAATATGGTGCATCAACCCCCCCTGCCATTTTACAAGAGAAACAACTAAGAAGCACCACCTTTGTCTAATTCATATAATTTAAATCAGCGTTTCCTAAACTCTGTCCTCGGGACCCCAAGGGGTGCACGTATTGGTTTTTGCCCTAACACTACACAGCTAATTCAAATGATCAAAGCTAGATGATTTGTTGATTATTTGAATCAGCTGAAGTGCTAGGGCAAAAACCAAAACGTGCACCCCTTGGGGTCCTGAGGACCGAAGTTTGGAAACCCAGATTTAATTCTTACACTAATGTGTCATTAGCCTTTGGTGTGCTGGTTTTCATTTTGTAGTAATTTACTAAGAATTAGACCCACTGACCATTTTATCAAGCTGAAGTCAAAACAAAAGGGATCCATGGGTGTGTTGACTGATAGTTTCCAGTATTTACAATCTGTACCAAGTTCAGAGTGAGCTCTAACAGCCCTGGCGAATGGTGTGCTTGTGTGCCCCTGTCACCCACACTGCCTCTGAGCGGATTGGCTGCTGAGTGTGTGTTCAATACTTCTGTTGCACTGGATTGGCCGCTGGCACCAAGCTGCGCTCTGATTGGCCGAGCTAGCTTTCTGCACACCTCTGTTGCATCCTTTATTCCTAACCTCTCCATCTCTCCTCCTCTTTCTTTCCCTCCATCCATCCCTCTTTCTTTCTCTCCTTCTAGCTGACCAAGGCCCACCGGCAGGGTCACATGGTGAAGGTAGACTGGTTGGACCGCCTGACCTTCAGAGAGATAGAGATGATCAACGAGGTGAGTTGGAGGATCTGGGGTCAGCTTTAAAATCTTTGACGCCTTATACTGTAAACCATACACACTTACAATCACCTGAATAGCCCCATCACAGATGCTTTATGTGTGACACATAACATGACATACTTTATATGTAAAGGCTATCTCTCGTTTCTGCCGAGACATCTTCTTTTATCAAAAGTCAGTCAGCCTCTTATGTTTGTGTGTGTTCCCACAGAGTGAGAAGCGTAGCTCCAACTTCATGTATCTTATGGTGGAGTTTCCTCGTGTCAAAACTGGAGAAAAGCCAGAGTACAGTATTGTCTATTATGAGAAGGTAAGTATATATACTGTATACACATACACACACTCATACATTACATGGTTTTGACATTGAGCTGTTGTCAGAGTTCTGAAAGGGATTGATTGGTTGATTGCCGTGGTGATGTGGTAGCTGATTGGCTGACTGACTAACTCCTCCCCCTCCAGGATGGAGATGACGCCTCACCGGTGCTCACCAGCGCTGACATCGTTAAAGTCCCTGACCCTCAGATGTGCATGGTAAGAGAGACACACACACACACACACACACACACACACACACAGGGTTAGAATGGAGATTTATTTAATTTTCAACATATCAATAATGACATATGTTAATGTATTGAGTTTAATGTATTCATAATTGATCATGTCTCACTGCCCCTGCCATAGGAGAACCTTGTGGAGAGCAAGCACCATAAACTGGCCCGTAGCCTTCGGAGTGGCCCGTCAGACCACGACCTGAAGCCTAACGCTGCCACACGAGACCAGCTCAACGTCAGTACCATTACTCAACCACAACTGTCTGTGTGTGTGATTTTCGCAGTAGACTCAATCTTGTGTGTGTGCATCTACAGGTCATAGTGAACTACCCTCCGACCAAGCAGCTGAGCTCAGAGGAACAGGACCTGGTGTGGAAGTTCCGTTACTACCTCACCACTCAGGAGAAGGTGTGTGTCCTGCTAGGTTTGAAGTCCTTTTATTGTAAGTCGCTCTGGATAAGAGCGTCTGCTAAATGACTAAAATGTAAATGTAAAATGTATTGTTGTCCATTTGATGTGGTTTAAACGATATAGACACATGCACACACAGTATGTGCATGTTTATAGCAGAATACATTTACCTACAAAATGGAAACCTGACCAGGGAAGAATCCTAGTTTAGCATGGTCCCAGTTTTTTCTGGTCAAGTCACGGGGTCAAGAAAAACCAGAGCCCTATTTTCACCGCAACATCATTCAAATACACTCCATGTGTGTTGACACACTTGTCTAAGCTAATTACCTAAGAGCCCGTCCTGTCCCCTCTCCCCTCTCCCCCTCCAGGCACTGACTAAGTTCCTTAAGTGTGTGAACTGGGCGCTGCCCGGGGAGGCTAAGCAGGCCCTGGAGCTGCTGGGGAAGTGGAGGCCCATGGACGTAGAGGACTCCCTAGAGCTGCTCTCCTCCCAGTTCACCAACCCCACCGTAAGACGCTACGCTGTGACCAGGCTGCAGCAGGCCGACGACGAGGTAGGTTGGGGTGTGTGTGAGTGGGGGGAGGAGGAGTGACACAGTAGAGCCATATATATATATATATATATATATATACACAGTGGGGAGAACAAGTATTTGATACACTGCTGATTTTGCAGGTTTTCCTACTTACAAAGCATGTAGAGGTCTGTAATTTTTATCATAGGTACACATCAACTGTGAGTGACGGAATCTAAAACAAAAATCCAGAAAATCACATTGTATTTAAGTAATTCATTTGCATTTTATTGCATGACATAAGTATTTGATACATCAGAAAAGCAGAACTTAATATTTGGTACAGAAACCTTTATTTGCAATTACAGAGATCATACGTTTCCTGTAGGTCTTGACCAGGTTTGCACACACTGCAGCATTGATTTTGGCCCACTCCTCCATACAGACCTTCTCCAGATCCTTCAGGTTTCGGGGCTGTCGCTGGGCAATACAGACTTTCACCTCCCTCCAAAGATTTTCTATTGGGTTCAGGTCTGGAGACTGGCTAGGCCACTCCAGGACCTTGAGATGCTTCTTACGGAGCCACTCCTTAGTTGCCCTGGCTGTGTGTTTCGGTCATTGTCATGCTGGAAGACCAAGCCACGACCCATCTTCAATGCTCTTACTGAGGGAAGGAGGTTGTTGGCCAAGATCTCGCGATACATGGCCCCATCCATCCTCCCCTCAATATGGTGCCGTCGTCCTGTCCCCTTTGCAGAAAAGCATCTCCAAAGAATGATGTTTCCACCTCCATGCTTCACGGTTGGGATGGTGTTCTTGGGGTTGTACTCATCCTTCTTCTTCCTCCAAACACGGCGAGTAGAGTTTAGACCAAAAAGCTCTATTTTTGTCTCATCAGACCACATGACCTTCTCCCATTCCTCCTCTGGATCATCCAGATGGTCAATGGCAAACTTCAGACGGGCCTGGACATGCGCTGGCTTGAGCAGGGGGACCTTGCATGCACTGCAGGATTTTAATCCATGACGGCGTAGTGTGTTACTAATGGTTTTCTTTGAGACTGTGGTCCCAGCTCTCTTCAGGTCATTGTCCAGGTCCTGCCTTGTAGTTCTGGGCTGATCCCTCACCTTCCTCATGATCATTGATGCCCCACGAGGTGAGATCTTGCATGGAGCCCCAGACCGAGGGTGATTGACCGTCATCTTGAACTTCTTCCATTTTCTAATAATTGCGCCAACAGTTGTTGCCTTCTCACCAAGCTGCTTGCCTATTGTCCTGTAGCCCATCCCAGCCTTGTGCAGGTCTACAATTTTATCCCTGATGTCCTTACACAGCTCTCTGGTCTTGGCCATTGTGGAGAGGTTGGAGTCTGTTTGATTGAGTGTGTGGACAGGTGTATTTTATACAGGTAACGAGTTCAAACAGGTGCAGTTAATACAGGTAATGAGTGGAGAACAGGAGGGCTTCTTAAAGAAAAACTAACAGGTCTGTGAGAGCCGGAATTCTTACTGGTTGGTAGGTGATCAAATACTTATGTCATGCAATAAAATGCAAATTAATTACTTAAAAATCATACAATGTTATTTTCTGGATTTTTGTTTTAGATTCCGTCTCTCACAGTTGAAGTGTACCTATGATACAAATTACAGACCTCTACATTCTTTGTAAGTAGGAAACACTGCCGATTTTGCAGGTTATCAAATACTTGTTCTCCCCACTGTGTGTGTATATATATATATATAATATATACACACACACACACACACAGTGGGGGGAAAAAAGTATTTAGTCAGCCACCAATTGTGCAAGTTCTCCCACTTAAAAAGATGAGAGAGGCCTGTAATTTTCATCATAGGTACACGTCAACTATGACAGACAAAATGAGAAAAAAAATCCAGAAAATCACATTGTAGGATTTATTATGAATTTATTTGCAAATTATTGTGGAAAATAAGTATTTGGTCAATAACAAAAGTTTCTCAATACTTTGTTATATACCCTTTGTTGGCAATGACACAGGTCAAACGTTTTCTGTAAGTCTTCACAAGGTTTTCAGACACTGTTGCTGGTATTTTGGCCCATTCCTCCATGCAGATCTCCTCTAGAGCAGTGATGTTTTGGGGCTGTCGCTGGGCAACACGGACTTTCAACTCCCTCCAAAGATTTTCTATGGGGTTGAGATCTGGAGACTGGCTAGGCCACTCCAGGACCTTGAAATGCTTCTTACGAAGCCACTCCTTCATTGCCCGGGCGGTGTGTTTGGGATCATTGTCATGCTGAAAGACCCAGCCACGTTTCATCTTCAATGCCCTTGCTGATGGAAGGAGGTTTTCACTCAATCTCACGATACATGGTCCCATTTCATTCTTTCCTTTACACGGATCAGTCGTCCTGGTCCCTTTGCAGAAAAACAGCCCCAAAGCATGATGTTTCCACCCCCATGCTTCACAGTAGGTATGGTGTTCTTTGGATGCAACTCAGCATTCTTTGTCGTCCAAACACGACAAGTTGAGTTTTTACCAAAAAGTTATATTTTGGTTTCATCTGACCATATGACATTCTCCCAATCCTCTTCTGGATCATCCAAATGCACTCTAGCTAACTTCAGACGGGCCTGGGCATGTACTGGCTTAAGCAGGGGGACACGTCTGGCACTGCAGGATTTGAGTCCCTGGCGGCGTAGTGTGTTACTGATGGTAGGCTTTGTTACTTTGGTCCCAGCTCTCTGCAGGTCATTCACTAGATCCCCCCGTGTGGTTCTGGGATTTTGTGATCATTTTGACCCCACGGGGTGAGATCTTGCGTGGAGCCCCAGATCGAGGGAGATTATCAGTGGTCTTGTATGTCTTCCATTTCCTAATAATTGCTCCCACAGTTGATTTCTTCAAACCAAGCTGCTTACCTATTGCAGATTCAGTCTTCCCAGCCTGGTGCAGGTCTACAATTTTGTTTCTAGTGTCCTTTGACAGCTCTTTGGTCTTGGCCATAGTGGAGTTTGGAGTGTGACTGTTTGAGGTTGTGGACAGGTGTCTTTTATACTGATAACAAGTTCAAACAGGTGCCATTAATACAGGTAACGAGTGGAGGACAGAGGAGCCTCTTAAAGAAGAAGTTACAGGTCTGTGGGAGCCAGAAATCTTGCTTGTTTGTAGGTGACCAAATACTTATTTTCCACCATAATTTGCAAATAAATTCATTACAAATCCTACAATGTGATTTTCTGGATTTTTTTTCTTAATTTGTCTGTCATAGTTGACGTGTACCTATGATGAAAATTACAGGCCTCTCTCATCTTTTTAAGTGGGAGAACTTGCACAATTGTTGGCTGACTAAATACTTTTTTTCCCCACTGTGTGTGTGTATGTGTATATATATATATATATATACTTCATACACACACATCTACGTATCTCTCTCCCTGTGCTCCAGGACCTGCTGATGTACCTTCTCCAGCTGGTCCAGGCTCTGAAGTACGAGAACTTCAACGACATCCAGGGTGGGCTGGAGCCAGGAGGCAAGCGGGACAGCCAGGGCCTGGGAGAGAGCTCCACCCTGGGGGACCTGGACAGGTTAGAGGGGGGGTCAAGGTGGAGGGTTGAAAGTTTGACCGAATCAGGGAAAACTCTGGGCCTAATTTATAGCCTAGGGCCCTGAGTTTGTTCTGGTCAGGTAGTTGGCCAGTGTTGGACAGGAAAAAATTCCTGGTCCTAGATATGTCTGGTGTTGGTTGTCTACTGTGCTATATAACTGTGTTGTAACAGTGTAATGAACTGTCTGCATGTCTCCAGTTCCCAGATCTTGACTGCTCCAGCAGTGCCCTCACCTGTCCCGAATGGAAAGGAAGGGGTGGACAGCGAGAATCCAGAGGTGAAAGATGTACAGGAAAGAGAGAGGACAGAAGTTTGACTGAAGAGAGAGGCATTGGTTGTTATCTTAGGTAGTAATGAATGTTTGTTCTGTGTTTCTACAGCAGGACCTGTGTACCTTCCTCATCTCCCGTGCTTGTAAGAACTCAACACTGGCCAACTACCTGTACTGGTGAGGATCAATTAGTATGTATGTGTGTGTGCGTGTGTATATAAACGTGTGTGTGTGTGTGTACTAAATCTGTGTGTGCTCCCTCAGGTATGTAATAGTGGAGTGTGAGGACCAGGACACTCAGCAGAGAGACCTGAAGACCCACAAGATGTACCTCAACGTCATCGGGAGGTTTAGCCAAGCACTGCTCAAGGTTAGACTTTCAACGCACCTCATATCTTACTTCATCCTTCAGTTAATTTACACTTTCAGGACTATGAATTTGCATGTGCAGTGAATGATACAGCACAGTAAAAACAAGTGTTTTTGTTTGGTAACCATGAGTATAACTAATTTCCCCCTCTCTTTCACTATCCCACTTTCTTCTCTGTACTCCCTTTCTCTCTGCTCATCTCCCTCTCTCTCCAGGGTGATAAGAGTGTGAGGGTGATGCGGTCTCTCCTGGCGTCCCAGCAGACGTTTGTGGACAGACTGGTACAGCTGATGAAGGCCGTGCAGAGAGAGAGCGGCAACCGCAAGAAGAAGGTACGAGAGACCTATAACACGTACACGTACACTCCTCCCTGTGTCCGTCTGTTTCCTTCCGTTTGGTGCCTAATGAACATGACCCAGGTCTTTCCTGTGACTGGTGTTTATGATTGATTGGTTGACAGTGGCGCCCCCCTGTGTTTCAGACGGAGCGACTGCAGGCTCTGCTGGCGGACAATGAGAAGGTGAACCTGTGTGAGATTGACCCCATCCCGCTACCTCTGGAACCATCGGTCAGAATCAGAGGCATCGTACCAGACACCGCCACGCTATTCAAGGTACAGCACCCACCATCCCTCCATCTCCCTTCGCTGTCTATCCTTCCTCTCCTCTACCTCCTCTTCATCCTCACTTTCTCTTCCGTTTCTTTGGTTTTGTATGTAGTAGTAGTTTGGACTTTCTTGCTGTTTATTTGTAACTGTTATGATTATATGATAATGTACCTTTTTAATAAGTGTTTATCATCTCATTGCTGTATATCTGTGCGTGTATTATAGAGCGCTCTGATGCCAGCCAAGCTGATCTTCAAGGCGGAGGATGGGGCGATGTACCCCGTCATCTTTAAACATGGAGACGACCTGAGACAAGACCAGCTCATCCTACAGATCATCTCTCTCATGGACAAAGTCAGAAACGAACATTATTGCCATGTCATTATCGTATAAACATAATACTGTATTGTTATGGACATGGTCTGAAACAAGCAAATTATTACTGTATTATCATATTACCTTATTGCAAACTTACTGTAAGTCGCTTTGGATAAAAGCGTCTGCTAAATGACTGAAATGTAAATACACAGGCTGTTGTTTATATTTCAGCCTCACCTAGAAGGTTAAGAGGCAGTGTATTGTAAATTATGTAAATTCTCTCTCAGTTGCTCAGGAAAGAGAACCTGGACCTGAAGTTGACACCTTACAAAGTGCTGGCCACAAGCACCAAACATGGTGAGCACCACTGATGTAGCTAGTGATAGAATACTGGGTCAGGACATGTGTGAAGTGACCTCTGACCTGTGTGTTCTCCTTCCTCCAGGGTTCATGCAGTTTGTCCAGTCAGTGCCTGTGGCTGAGGTCCTGGCCACTGAAGGAAACATCCAGGTAAGAATTTACTGTATCTATGGCTAAGAGACTGTTAGCATTATTTGCTATCTAAGGTATTTGTGGCCCCGTGTAGCTCAGCTCAGAGCATGGCGCTTGCAACGCCAGGGTTGTGGGTTCGATTCCCACGGGGGGCCAGGGGGGCCAGTATGAAAATGTATGCACTCACTAACTGTAAGTCGCTCTGGATAAGAGCGTCTGCTAAATGACTAAAATGTAAAATGTGTTTGTCTAGCATCTTTGCTCTGTGCAGACACGTCTGTAGACAAGTCTTGTGACGTCTTCTCTGGTCTAACTTGTTGTAAGTGATAGTGTTATTATTATTATTTTTACATTTACGTCATTTAGCAGACGCTCTTATCCAGAGCGACTTACAAATTGGTGCATTCACCTTATAGCCAGTGGGATAACCACTTTACAATATGTTGTTGTTTTTTTCTTTGGGGAGGGGTAAGGGGGGGGTAGAAGGATTACTTTATCCTATCCCAGGTATTCCTTAAAGAGGTGGGGTTTCAAGTGTCTCCGGAAGGTGGTGAGTGACTCCACTGTCCTGGCGTCGTGAGGGAGCTTGTTCCACCATTGGGGTGCCAGAGCAGTGAACAGTTTTGACAGGGCTGAGTGGGAACTGTTTCCGCAGAGGTAGGGGAGCCAGCAGGCCAGAGGTGGATGAACGCAATGCCCTCGTTTGGGTGTAGGGACTGATCAGAGCCTGAAGGTACGGAGGTGCCGTTCCCCTCACAGCTCCGTAGGCAAGCACCATGGTCTTGTAGCAGATGCGAGCTTCAACTGGAAGCCAGTGGAGTGTGCGGAGGAGCGGGGTGACGTGAGAGAACTTGGGAAGGTTGAACACCAGACGGGCTGCGGCATTCTGGATGAGTTGTAGGGGTTTAATGGCACAGGCAGGGTGCCCAGCCAACAGCGAGTTGCAGTAATCCAGACGGGACATGACAAGTGCCTGGATTAGGACCTGTGCCGCTTCCTGTGTAATGTTGTAGAGCATGAACCTACAGAATCGGGTCACCGCCTTGGTGTTAGCGGAGAACGACAGGGTGTTGTCCAGGGTCACGCCAAGGCTCTTCGAACTCTGGGAGGAGGTCAAGGATGAGTTGATGAGCGAGGTGAGGTAAGGGAGAAGGTCACCGGAGATGGTCTGGAGAAGAGGCTGGGATAGGGTCAAGCGGGCAGGTTGTTGGGCGGCCGGCCGTCACAAGTCGCAAGATTTCATCTGGAGAGAGGGGGGAGAAAGAAGTCAAAGCATAGGGTAGGGCAGTGTGAGCAGGACCAGCAGTGTCATTTGACTTAACAAACGAGGATCGGATGTCGTCAACCTTCTTTTCAAAATGGTTGACGAAGTCATCCACAGAGAGGGAGGAGTGGAGGGGGAGGATTCAGCAGGGAGGAGAAGGTGGCAAAGAGCTTCCTAGGGTTAGAGGCAGATGCTTGGAATTTAGAGTGGTAGAAAGTGGCTTTAGCAGCAGAAACAGATGAAGAAAATGTAGAGAGGAGGGAGTGAAAAGATGCCAGGTCCGGAGCCCTGTTCTGTGAGCGCGCAATGAGTCGTCAAGCCACGGAGCAGGAGGGGAGGGGAGGACCTAGCCGGCCGGGAGGATAGCGGACATAGAGAGTCAAAGGATGCAGAAAGGGAGGAGAGGAGGGTTGAGGAGGCAGAATCAGGAGATTGGAGGGAGAAGGATTTAGCAGAGGGAAGAGATGATAGGATGGAAGAGGAGAGAGTAGCGGGAGAGAGAGAGCGAAGGTTGCGACGGCACATTACCATCTGAGTAGGGGCAGAGTGAGTAGTGTTGGAGGAGAGCGAGAGAGAAAAGGATACAAAGTAGTGGTCGGAGACATGGAGGGGAGTTGCAGTGAGATTAGTAGAAGAACAGCATCTAGTAAAGATGAGGTCAAGCGTATTGCCTGCCTTGTGAGTGGGGGGGGACGGTGAGAGGGTGAGGTCAAAAGAGGAGAGGAGTGGAAAGAAGGAGGCAGAGAGAAATTAGTTTAATTTAGTAAATATTTTCTTAACTCTTATTTTTCTTAACTGCATTGTTGGTTAAGGGCTTGTAAGTAAGCATTTCATGGTAAGCTGTACACCTGTTGTATTCGGCGCATGTGACAAATAAAATTTGATTTGATTTGAGTAAGACTCTCCTCTCTTCCTGTGTCTCTCCAGAGTTTCTTCAGAAAACACGCCCCCAGTGAAAAGGGGCCCTATGGCATCAGCCCTGAGGTGATGGACACCTACGTCAAGAGCTGTGGTGAGTCTACTACCACTAACACCCTCCCACCTCACTGTCTCTGACCAATCCCTGGCCTTGGTGACATTCATTTTTGTCTTGTTCCAGCTGGTTACTGTGTCATCACATACATCCTGGGTGTGGGAGACAGACACTTGGACAACCTGCTCCTCACAAAGACTGGTGAGTCTATAGGAATTATGTGTAATGTACCTCCAACACCCTATGGTTGGATTTGTACAATACATTGTCTGATCATTAGTCCTTTCCTTCAAATGCTGCTCCACTCTGTTCTGTATGACTGAATACACTTTGTGACAACTGCTGTTATAAAAAGGCTTCATGAACACATTTGATTGATTTGAATACCTTTCCAACTTCCGTTTTCAGGAAAGTTGTTCCACATAGACTTTGGCTACATCCTGGGTCGTGACCCCAAGCCGCTGCCTCCGCCCATGAAGTTGAGTAAGGAGATGGTGGAGGGGATGGGTGGCATGCAGAGTGAACAGTACCAGGAGTTCAGGAAACAGTGTTACACTGCCTTCCTACACCTCAGGAGGTAGGACAAACACACACACTGCGTTTACACAGGCAGCTCAATTCTGATCTTAACCACTAATTGGTCTTTTGACCAATCAGATCAGATCTTTTGCCAATAATTGGGTAAAAGATCAGAATTGGGCTGCCTGTGTAAACGCAGCCAGAGAGACACGGATGCAGACGTAGATGCTTGTACGAAGGCACTCACACAGTACACACTCATTTATATCAGCTGTGATTTACCTTTTTCATTTCTCTTTCGTTCTCATCCCTGTCTCTTGTTCTCTTCAGGTACTCTAACCTCATCCTAAATCTGTTCTCTCTCATGGTGGACGCCAACATTCCCGACATCGCCCTGGAGCCTGACAAGACTGTTAAGAAGGTGTGTGTGTACTTCACTGTAAAGCGAACGGTTATGTGCATTGTAAGAGTCCCATTACGAAGGAACTCCCCCACTCGTTCGCTGAATATTGTCTCCTCCAGGTGCAGGACAAGTTCCGATTGGACCTGTCGGATGAGGAGGCGGTGCATTACATGCAGAGTCTGATTGATGAGAGCGTGGGAGCTCTGTTTGCTGCCGTGGTGGAGCAGATACACAAGTTTGCCCAGGTGTGTCTCACAACAGGGGTTTGGTGTGTCTCACAACAGGGGGGATGACTGATTACTTAGTATCTCATGGACAGACTACATAAACATAAATGGTACTGTAGGTCTGTCATGATACAACAGGATGTGTGAGATAACGAGCAGCATTAGTTCCGGTGCTTTGTGCAAATCACAATTTCGCAGGTGTTAGCATCTTTAGAATTTCATTAGGGGACATTTGGACCATATACTTGCAAAGAGAGAGGGTGGAGTTCTTTGTTCCGGTTCCGAACCTTGTTCAATCTCTTCTCTTAACATGTATGGACCCAATACTTAATCGAGCATCTGACCAATTATGCGTGACTTTAGTTCTGGGTTAACTGATTAACTGTAACAGTGTTTATTTCTATAACACTGTATTTGGCAATGTAAGGCTGCGTTTAAACAGGCAGCCCAATTATTGGCAAAAGAGCTGATCTGATTGGTTAAAAGACTGAGTTTTGTTTTTTATTCAACCTTTATTTAACTAGGTAAGTCAGTTAAGAACAAATTCTTATTTACAATGACGGCCTCCTGCGGGGACCGGGGCTAGGATAGAAAAATATAGGACAAAACATGTCAAGAGAGACACCACAACACTACATAAAGAGAGACCTAAGACAACAACAAAGCAAGGTAGCAACCCAACATGAAAACATCATGGTAGCAACACGACATGGCAGCAGCACAACATGGTAGCAGCACAAGACATGGTACAAACATGATTGGGCACAGACAACAGCACAAAGTGCAAGAAGGTAGAGACAACAATACATCACGCAAAGCAGCCACAACTGTCAGCAAGAGTGTCCATGATTGAGTCTTTGAATGAAGAGATGGAGATAAAACTGTCCAGTTTGAGTGATTTTTAGCAGCTCGTTCCAGTCGCTAGCTGCAGTGAACTGAAAAGAGGAGCCAGATGTGTGAGGTTCATTAACGGTGGTGTCCCATCTCTCCCCCAGTACTGGCGCAGATGAGAAGGACAGAACTGTCTGAGACGTGACGGATGGACAGACAGGAGGGGTTGTATCCATAGTAACACCCGGTCCCCCGCCCCTGTGTGTGTGAGAGATTGAGATGATCCATCCATGATGGGCCCCGTGTAGCTCAGTTGGTAGAGCATGGCGCTTGCAACGCCAGGGTTGTGGGTTCGATTCCCACGGGGGGCCAGTATGAAAATAATGTATGCACTCATGTAAGTCGCTCTGGATAAGAGCGTCTGCTAAATGACTAAAAATGACACTGCTGACTGATGTTTTCATTTTGTATATATTATATATAGATATTATTAAACTAATGGCCAAATAAAACCATGTTGATACAGTACAACACTGGTGTTGCCTTGTCTTTGTGTGTGAGTTGTGTTTCAGGTCGTTAACACACATGGCATTCACAAGCGTTCAGTGAATGGTGTGTACAGATTCCCAGGGATTCGGTGTGTACAGATTCGCAAAATAATACGTTGGGACTTGTGTGTGGTACAATGGTTATTGTAGTAGCTCCGGTGTAAACGGGGCCAGTGTCTCACTGTAGAGTATCAACCAACAGAGGACTGGAGTGCCGTAGTCGGCTTTGTCTCCAGGGATGCCATACAAATACATCAATCTTTGACATGATTAACAGTTATGGCTGGCTGTGTCCATTGAGCATCAACACACATATGGGGATGGTTATTATGATGACTATGCTGGGGGTGAAGGCACCGGGTTAATCCTGTGAGTCAGGGTTTCCTGTACAAGAGATTAACCGCCATTTCTTCTCCTTCATATGTAGCTGTGATTGTCATTTATCATGGTCATAAAGGGCAATATGCAGTTTCTGGCAATTTATTTTCCTCATGAATATGCATGTATTATTCCAACAGAGGACTTTCAAATGGTTACTTTTAAAACCCCATCACCATACAAAGCAATGTTTTATCTTTAAAAATAAGGTCAATTTAGTTTAGAACATGTGGTTGGTTTCATCCTCAATCTAGGTCAGTTGAAGACGCTGTAGATTGAGGTAACAGGTGGTTAGTTGTGTGGTCATGCCTGTGTGGTTTATCATGTTTGAGCTGATACCCTGACCACGAGCAACACAACATCAATTTGTTTGATGGGAATAGACTTTATACTATTACAAGCGTAATTGTAACGTTTAAGTTGCTTTTTAGATGTACTTTAGATGTCAGATCATTATCAGATATGTTTTATATGAGGTATAAGAAAGGACACTGCACATTGCATGTACACTTCTGCATTTATGAAGGAATCAGGACTTTATGAATTTACCATCACAGGTGCAAATGTAACAACCTTTAAGTTGCTTTTTATTTTAGATACTTTTTTAAAACATATATACACACGAAAGAACAGTAGTACTCAATTGCCCTTCTGTATTTTTGAAGGACATCCATTTACAACATTTACATTTACATTTACGTCATTTAGCAGACGCTCTTATCCAGAGCGACTTACAGTTAGTGCATACATTATTCTTTTTTATTTTCATACTGGCCCCCCGTGGGAACAACTGGTAAGGGAAATCAAGAACAATGTAAGATATTACACACAAAAGCACTTCAAATGATAAACATTTATTGTTCACTCATAATTTACCCTCATGGTGTTGGAATGTGAATTATACATAAAGAACATCAGCAATTACACTTATCTAGCATTGTGCAACAAAGTCTTATAAGCGAACTCAAATGGTTGCTCTCATTTAGCAGAGCCTCTGTCATTTCAAGCGTTTTGATTAGGCTTGTTGGTGGTGGATTTTTCAAGCTCTGCTGTACTCTCATATACATTTCTGTCTCCTCTCCGGTAAATATGAAATTTGACATTTACAGAACAGTATGCACTGAATGGAAAGCAAATGTATAATTGATTCACTTTTAGACACTAGCAGAGACTGTTTCAGCTGACACATGAATTAGTCATTTTAGAAAAGGTCACCCTGTCGAACACCACATAAATCCCCCATCCAACTTCACCACCACCACAGCTGCAGAGCCAGCCAGCACACATTAGTGAAGAGCCACAAAGCAACCATCTTGAATCAGGATTCCAGTGAATTGACTGCAAATATAGCAGAACCCATAAAAAGCTGCCCCAAAAGTTCAAGGTTAGATGCTATCTCTGTTGGACGCCTGAGAAGTAACATTTATGATTAGCAGGCAAACACACTGCTTAGTTTGGACTCACTGATGATCCAACCCCCAAGACCAACACTATGAATCAAAATCCCCCTGACACAGTGAGATTATTATGAGCCATATGAAGGCTATGGGGGTTCCAGAACTATGGGGCCAAACAACACTGTTTCCCATTCATTGTCTCCTGTCTCTCCCTCTCACCCCCCTGGGTTTCCTAATGTTCCGGAAGAGTGCACCACCAGCAAAATGAGGCAGGAGCGAGATGTACCACAACCCTCTGCCCTCCTCCCCCAGAATGAGGTGTCAGACACGGGTAAGAGACAGCGAGAGCCAGGCCAGAGATGGGATGGGCCAACAGTGAGTCAGAAGCAAGGCAGAGAGCAAAGGCAATGAAGGGGAGTCAGAATAATAAACCCCCCTTAGAAAGAAATAGGTGCCATCTATAACCTAAAAAGGTTTGTCAGCTGTCCCCATAGGATAACCCTTTTTGGTTCCAGGAAGAACGCTTTTGGTTCCAAAAAGGGTTATTCTATGGGGACAGCTGAAGAACCCTTTTGAAACCCTTTTTTTCTAAGAGTGTATATGTTTATGATAGCACAGTCCAGTATTGTCCTTACTTGTTATGGTTGATCTTGATATGGTGCTGGACCATACCACAGTCCGGTTGGAACTGACAATGTATGCCTATAAACTGTGGACACAATTACAATTTTGGTCAATAAAGTTTTTGAACTCCTCTCAACACTGTGGAGTTCATAGGAATATGTTGAACATAGCATTATGAGTACTGAAGTTCAATGTGCTACAGGTTACACCACTGTAGTCCCTCCAGGTTCTCACCCCCTTCCCCCTCACTCGCCCCCCCAAACCTCACTGAGCACAGCAGGACCCCCTGACCCTCCACAGCCTCTGACAGAGAAAGAGAACCAGGGTAGGGTAGTGTTGGCACATTGGGCCCTGGATGTGGTTGTCGAGGTGAATCTAAGCTGCACTGGTTCATATGTAGGCCTATATGCACAGTGGAGCACGGCAGGGATAGGGTGCTGCCAGAGTTCAGGCCCAGCTCCATTCCCCCAGTGTCCCAGTGCACGTTGCCTGAACTGTAGTCACTGAGGAAGGGCTTGCTGTTGTACCCATCCCCCAGGCTTGGGGCCTGGGCCGCGATGCAGACACAGTTGGAGAAAGAGGACATGAAGGAGATGTGGTCGTCTACAACCTCCACGTGGATGTCACTGGGGTCAACAGGGTCTGAAGAGGACTCTGGGGGGTCCTGGAGGAATGCCTGAAGAGATGCCTGCATTAAAAAAAATACACAAAAACACTGTGTAATGATATACCCAAGGACCATGGACATTCAATATAATACTGCATTTAATATAGTACTATACACATAAATGAAATGAAATACTCAGTGTGTGTGTGTGTGTGTCAAGAGGACAAGAACAGTTTACTAGACACTTGGGGAGTGTGTTTATGGTTGCTGCATCTCGTTTTTGTTTCAGCCGGTACAGAGCCAGAACAAGGAGAGGAGAGAAGAGCACAGCACACACTCCTATCCCCAACAACACTAGCTGCAACCCTGGGAAACACAAACAAACGTCCATTGTGTAATTAGGGTCGTATTCATAACCCTAGCTTCATGTCCACACCCCGGCTCAACCTTAACACAACGTAAACCTCTGACCTCTCACCTGGTCCTGGGGCAGCCTGGTGGACACAGTGGGGGTTGGAGGGAGGAGACGAGGCCTGGGGGAAGGTGGAGGGTTCAACTGAGAAGTTAGCCACGACACAGTAGTCCTGTCCTGGGGCCAGGTTTGAGAACTCTGCCCCGTACACCACCTTCTGGGCCGAACCAGTCTGCGTCTGCAACAGGACAAGCCAATCACAAACGCTGTATCAGACACATGCATCAGGATCAGCCAATCACAAACGCTGTATTAGACACATGCCAATCAGAGAGACTGTATCAGATGGTGTTTCACAGAGAGCCAATCAAGGACACTTGTACTAACCCAAGGCACACAAAAAACATGCAGCAGACAAAGAAACAGCCAGTGGTGGAAAAAGTACCCAATTGTCATACTTGAGTAAAAGTAAAGAAAATGACTCAAGTGAAAGTCACCCAGTAAAACACTACTTGAGTAAAAGTCTAAAAGTATTTGGTTTGAAATATACTTAAGTATCAAAAGTCAATGTAGTTCCTAAAATATACTTAAGTATCAAAAGTAAAAGTAAAAGTATAAATCATTTCAAATTCCTTATATTAAGCAATTCCAGACAGCACCATTTCCTTGTTTTTTTAAATGTACGGATAGCCAGGGGCACGCTCCAACACTCAGACATAATTTACAAACGAAGCATGTGTTTAGTGAGTCCGCCAGATCAGAGGCAGTAGGGATGACAAGGGATGTTCTCTCTATAAGTGTGTGACGTAGACCATTTTCCTATCCTGCTAAGCATTCAAAATGTAACGAGTACTTTTGGGTCTCAGGGAAAGTAAAAAGTACATAATTTTCTTTAGGAATGTAGTGAAGTAAAAGTAAAAGTAGTCAAAAATATAAATAGTAAAGTATTTTTACTTAAGTACTTTACACCACTGGAAACAACATGAGTGTAGTTTCTGGTTTGAGCACTCACTCCTTCACAATTGTACTACTTAGATTAACTTACATAGCAGCAGGTAAAAGGAAAAAGGAGGGAACATGTGAACGAGAGAGAGCAAGAGAAATGGAGGGTGAGCAAAAAGTGTTATTACAGATGGCAATAGGGGTACCATGTAGTCAGAGGGGTTCTGTTGGTTATATACTGTCACGGTGACCCAGGGGTGAATGAATTTTGACAGTGGACAGCAGCTCTGCAGAGGAAGACACTCCTTTTTGATAGAACAAGGTAAGTGCACCTCCACTAACAGCCTCTCTCCAGACAGAGAGACCAAGACAGAGGGGCTGCTGAAGGCTGAAGAGAGGAGAAACGAAGAAGCCACTTTAATTCCAATCACAACAATCTCTTCATGTGAGCGCCTTTAGCAATTTTAGCCCTCTATGTTTGAACTCTGCAGTGTATTAAGATGTTTAAATGCTCTTCTACGTTTTGTTTGATTTGAACAATAAGTCACCAAGGCAAGATATGTGATAGGTCTGAGAGCAGAAGCAGGCTACTGACTGAAATCACTGGGGCCAAACACAAGTGATTCTGTCCAGACTGGACTCCCCGGGACCTGGTGGAGGCCCAGGCGGATCATGTTGTACAGCTCAAAGTCAGAGAAGGCATCGGACAGGTCACACAGCTGGGAGGAGAACCGCACACAGCTCTCCACGTTCTGCCACAAATCCCTGTAACACACACACACACACATACAGTACCAGTCAAAAGTTTGGACAAACCTACTCATTCAAGGGTTTTTCTTTATTTTTACTATTTTCTACATTGTAAAATAATAGAAGACATCAAAACTATGAAATGACACACGTAGTAACCAAAAAAAAGTGATAAACAAATCAAAATATATTTTGGATTCTTCAAAGTAGCCACCCGTTGCCTTGATGACAGCTTTGTACACTCTTAGTATTCTCTCAACCAGCTTCATGAGGAATGCTTTCCCAAAAGTCTTGAAGGAGTTCCCACATATGCTGAGCACTTTTCCTTGCTGATTTTCCTTCATTCTGCGGTCCAACTCATCCCAAACCATCTCAATTGGGTTGAGGTTGGGTGATTGTGGAGGCCAGGTCATCTGATGCAGCACTCCATCACTCTCCTTCTTGGTCAAATAGCCCTTACACAGCCTGGAGGTGTGTTTTGGGTCATTGTCCTGTTGAAAACAAATGATAGTCCCACTAAGCGCAAACCAGATGGGATGGCGTATCACTGCAGAATGCTGTGGTAGCCATGCTGGTTAAGTGTGCCTTGAATTCTGAATAAATCACAGACAGTGTCACCAGTAAAGCATCCCCACACCATAATACCTCCTCCTCCATGCTTCACGGTGGGAACCACACATACGGAGATCATCCGTTCACCTACTCTGCGGTTGGAACCAAACATCTCAAATTTGGACTCATCAGACCAAAGGACAGATTTCTTGGCCCAAGCAAGTCTCTTCTTCTTATTGGTGTCCTTTAGTAGTGGTTTCTTTGCATCAATTCGACCATGAAGGCCTGATTCACACAGTCTCCTCTGAACAGTTGATGTTGAGATGTGTCTGTTACTTGAACTCTGTGAAGCTTTGGGCTGCAATCTGAGGTGCAGTTAACTCTAATGAATTTATCCTCTGCAGCAGAGGTAACTCTGGGTCTTCCTTTCCTGTGGCGGTCCTCATGAGAGCCAGTTTCATCATAGCGCTTGATGGTTTTTGCGACTGCACTTGAAGAAACTTTCAAAGTTCTTGAAATGTTCAGTATTGACTGACCTTCATGTCTTAAAGTAATGATGGACTGACGTTTCTCTTTGCTTATGTGAGTTGTTTTTGCCATAATATGGACTTGGTCATTTACCAAATAAAGCTATCTTCTGTATACATTTTAGTCATTTAGCAGACGCTCTTATCCAGAGCGACTTACAGTTAGTGAGTGCATACATTTTTCATAACCCCCCTACCTTGTCACAACACAACTGATTGGCTCAAACGCATTGAGGAAAGAAATTCCACAAATTAACAAGGGACACCTGTTAATTGAAATGCATTCCAGGTGACTTCCTCACGAAGCTGGTTGAGAGAATGCCAAGAGTGTGCAAAGCTGTCATCAAGGCAAAGGGTGGCTACTTTGAAGAATCTCAAATATATTTTGATTTGTTTAACACTTTTTTTGGTTACTACATGATTCCATGTGTTATTTCATAGTTTTGATGTCTTCACTATTATTCTACAATGTAGAAAATAGTAAAAAAAATAAAGAAAACCCCTGGAATGAGTAGGGATGTCCAAACTTTTGACTGGTATCATATATAGAGAAACATACATGAACAAAGAGATACAAACTATATAGTATTTATTTATTATTCCTATTTATTAAAATGTATGTGGAAATGTTTCTGAAAATATGCAATACCCACACAAGATAACACACACACACTGGTTGTTGGACTACTTGGGTGGTGGTGGTGGTGGTTGTTATGACTGAAACCAGGTGGCAGGGGAGAGGAGAAGCCAGAGTTTCACGGCTGTAGTAGAAAACAATTGTGCCCATCTATCAGAGTCCATCTATCCATAAGGGCAATCAACCATGGACTGGAGTGACTGATTCATCCCTCTGATTAAAACCCTTTGTGTTTTTTCTGCCAAAACCACACGTTTTAAATTCTCTCGCTTTACCGCTCTCACTCTACCCCTCTCACCGGCTCCTCTCCGCATGCGTCATCAGAGCGGTTTGTTCTCACACAATAATTAGCTTTCCCTTTCCTTTCTAGGATAGCTTTCCCCTCACACTCCCAACAGTTGCACTATTCATATTAACTGTCATTGTAAAGTAAATGACTATCAGGATACTGATTACAACTTTCAAACAAACAACGACTTGATTTAAAATACTCTATTTAAATGACTAGGTAGTAGTTACACACAGAACAAACATTACAGAATAAGATACAGAACATTGTCATAGATCAATGTAGTGGTTTTCTATTAAACAATTCGCTACCAATTCTAGAAAATAGCAGAACAGTAATACAGCATACTATTAGGGCTAGATCGATTAGGTCAATAGAGAGAGCAGACCGAGGCAGACCCCCGAATCTTAGAACAGTAATTTAGCTGAGAGGACATTTAGAGCTAGATACTAGTCCATTAAGTCAATAGTGAGCACTGAGGAATCAGACAGACAGACACACCCCTGAGTCTTAGTTTGGACGGTGTAGGTGGTGGTAGCGTTGGCCTGGGGACAATCCCACTGCAGGACACAGTTTAAGTTCAGGGAATGCACAATGGTGGTACAGACGGCCCCAGATGATCCTGAGAGTTCACACAGAACACTTCAGTCAACACACACACAGGAATAGATCACACACAATCTCACATAGGCTACCCTTTCCTATTCACGATCTCACAGAAACAAGGATAACTATGCGTAAACACAACTCACACATACTTAACATGATTGACACTATTTTAACCTTTAGTTAGCCATGTAAACCATTGAGATCAAACCATATATAGAGTAACTCTGTGGTGAGCCCCCCATAGATAGTGTAAATTAGATCAGTCACTGTCCCCAATATGGAGGGATCGGGTTAAGAAAGGTGGGTAAAGAGAGAAACAGACTCACCTGTCATATGGACACACACACACAATCCTGTTAACACAAGGGTCGTCAGTACACCAGGTACCGTCACCATGGTGACACAGGTAAGCTAGACCACAGGCTGAGAGGAACAAAGGACACAGCTGAAATCTTTTTCCAAAACAAAATCCCCTTGAGGGAGGGATACCACATTCATGCCAGTACACTGATGCGCACAGTAGTCTACATGACAAGAAAATGCATAACAAATAATTGCTCAAAGTTGAATAGGAAAGAGGTAGCGTAAGCGGTCACTTACCTACATCGACAGAGAGAGAGAGAGGGGGAGATAGATAAAGAAGGGCAGGGGGGTGAAGGGATCAGGATGTGACACAGTAGTCGTGGTTGTGAGAGGAAATGGTATAATCTGAAGCTTAAAGGCAAGAAGCGAGACAAAGAAGGACAGAGTGAGACAGGAAACATATAGAGGGAAAATAACAACCACCTTGCAAGCTTTGTAAATATATACACAGTACCAGTCAAACATTTGGACACACCTACTCATTCAAAGGTTTCTTTATTTTTACTATTTTCTACATTGTAGAATAATAGTGAAGACATCAAAACTATGAAATAACACATATGGAATCATGTAGTAACCAAAAAAAGTGTTAAACAAATCAAAATATATTTTATATTTGAGATTCTTCAAAGTAGCCACTCTTTGCCTTGATGACAGCTTTGCATACTCTTGGCATTCTCTCAACCAGCTTCATGAGGTAGTCACCTGGAATGCTTTTCAACAATCACCTGACCTCAACCCAATTGAGATGGTTTGGGCCGCAGAATGAAGGAAAAGCAGCAAGGAAAAGTGCTCAGCATATGTGGGAACTCCTTCAAGACTGTTGGAAAAGCATTCCAGGTGTAGCTGGTTGAGAGAATGCCAAGAGTGTGCAAAGCTGTCATCAAGGCAAAGGGTGGCTACTTTGAAGAATCTCAAATATAAAATATATTTTGATTTGTTTAACACTTTTATTGGTTACTGCATGATTCCATGTGTTATTTCATAGTTTTGATGTCTTCACTATTATTCTACAATGTAGAAAATAGTAAAAATAAAGAAACCTTTGAATGAGTAGGTGTGTCCAAACGTTTGACTGGTACTGTGTGTATATATATATATATATATATATATATATATATATATATATATATATAAAACAATTGTGTTCAAGTGACTTGTCTTGATTCACTATTTTCAAAAGTTGTGGTACAGTACATTATACACCCACTACTTGATGCTTCCTAGTTATTCATGACAGGTTTGGGCCGATGGTTGGCTAGAAATCCTGCAATCCAGCTAGAGAAAAACCACATACAGTCTGTCCATTCTATAGTTTTATTCAATGCCATTTTTAAATAATATGAATCTGTACATCTTTGTTGAAGCAGGTCTTTGACCATTAATTCTCAAAAATAACAAAAAGTCATCAACTAATAAACAATCTTAATACAGTAAGTGCTTTGTCAGAGGATCACGAGGGCCGTAAAAGATCATACAGCAAGATATCAGTCAACAGAACAGTATGTATCACACACACACACACACCACACACACACACACACACACACACACACCCCTTTCATTGCCCTGTTCGTGGCCTCTCCAGGTTGCACCGTAAAGCTGTTGTAGCAGTCTGAATACAAGGCAAACTGCTGAAGCTGTCGACCATTCAGACAGTATCAAACATCTAAATCATAACATGAATTTTTCATAACATTTCATAAGTAACACTATTCATAACATTCCTCATCGTAGCAACATCACCACCACCACAATCCTCAGTCATAAAATAGTATTTACAACTGTGACCGTCAGAAAAGGAGCATTAGACCACACCATAGGAGGATATCATAAAATTTGATTTGATACATATCCCATTGGATTGGTCCAATACTAAAGCCATGTTTAGCCTACATTTAAATATGGCTCTGACCAATACAAGTGTTGTCATGCTGAGGGAAAGTATTGTCATTGCTTCTTTATGAATCAGTCAGTCTACCAGCCTTCATTCGCTGTAGGGATCTGTGACTTCTCAGCTCACTCCCCTTAACAGCACAACATGATACTGGATTATACAGTACAGCATTAATACAGTCAATACCGCCTCAATCCAGCAGAGGGCGCCCCACCATCACTCATAGGCCACCAGCACCGCAGTGGCTTCCCACCAGCAGCTATACCTCTCACATGTCACTATCTCTATGTAAGAATGGAATGAAGTAGCCCCTAGGCACTGATCCAAGATCAGTTTCCAGTCTCTCCCTCCTAAGAAATAAGGTTAGGATAATGGGGTTGTGTAATCTGATCCTAGATCTGTGGTTAGGGGCATTCTTTGTCTATGTCTGAGCCCTAGGCAGGGCTAGACCAGGGCCAGGCTCGGGGTTGGTAGGGGTGGTGGGGGAGGACGGTATCCCCTTAGGCCCTTTATAGAGCAGCCCTCGGGTGGCCCCAGTACTGTCCCCGTTCCCGTTCAGGTTCTTAAAGGGGTTCCGGCGAGGGGGCGTGCGGAAACACAGAGAGGGGAACCGGAAACCCGCCAGGCAGCAACCGGGACACGAGATCACCTCCTCCTGCTCCAGAGAAGGACCGGCACCATTACTGGACCCGAACAGCGAGGGCGAGTCCCCTATGGGCCTCCCAGAAGGTGAGTGGTTCCGGTTGGTGCCCCCCCATCCCAGAGGCCGACTAATGACCACCGTGGTGCTGTTGTTGTTGTCCATGTGGGGGGAGGGGTGGGGGGGCAGGCAGAGAGGGCCATTGAAGATGGGGGGAATATTACCCCAGCCGTTGTTGAATGTGGTGGAGGTGGGTGGGGAGGGTTTGGAATAAGGTGGAAGAGTAGGGAGAGAATAGAGTGGAGGGAGAGCGCCATCTAGTGTGTCAGGGGAGCTGGTGCAGTCCATAGGTTCCACTTCCTGGTCAGTTTCCTCTTCCTGTTCCTCGCTCAGCTGGTCCAATGACAGCAGCTCTGGATCGAGAGGAAGCCCCGAGTCGTCGCCCGTGAGGCCCTCGCTGCTCTTCCTCCTCTCCACATCCTCGTCTACGAACTCATTCGACTCAAAGGTAAACCTCTCTTTCATGATTCTCCTCTCCTCCTCTTTCTCATTCTCTACATTCCCCTCATCATTCTCAGTGTCTAAGTCCATTGGCAATACCCCCGTTTTTTCTGTGGTATTGTCCTTGGTGGTGGGGGGCAGGAGACCTAGAGGGGGGGTGCAGGGCAGGGACAAGCAGCGTCTGTGGAGCCTTCCTCGGGGCGTACCCCCCTCTCTGTCTGAGGGCGAGGGGGCTGTACAGGGGTCCGGGCGTTTGGGTAAGGTGAACGTTAAAGAGATGACAGAATTGCTGGGCGTGTCAAACAATTTAATCTTGCCTCCGTTCAGGTCCTCTCGCAGGGAGAAGGGATTGACACGGGTGGGAGGGGCCAGAGTGGGGGGCACGGCCGGAGGGAGCATGTCTGATTTGCTGCGGCAGAGGCGAGGGTCGCCGGGGAGACAGAGGAAGCGCCTCCGCAGTGAGCCAAGATCTAGAGACAGGGAGAGAGAGATTCAAAAAAAAGAATACATGCTGGCAATCTGCTGAGACAAAACATGTATACATATCTGGGGAAAGGGGAAAACTAGTCAGTTGCACAACAACGCATTCAACCGAAATGTGTCTTCCTCTTTAACACAAACCCTCTGAATCAGAAAGGTGCAGGGGGCAGCCTTAATCGACGTCATCGATACCCGGGGAGCAGTTGTTGGGGGAGAACGGCAGATTTTATCCACCTTGCCGGCTCCGGGATTCGAACCAGCAACCTTTTGGTTACCGGCTAAACACGCTTAACCACTAAGCTACCTGCACACCCCTAATCTATTCATCTATCTATATGACTCTAGAGAGCAGAATATCTCCAGGATACCACCCCATATAACCTGCCCCCTCAGCTCAATTCCGACAGCTTTAATGACGCCTGTAGAATACACAATGCTGATATAGCATCTGCTGTTTGTAGAACCCCCCACTGACTAAGACCTCCCTGTGTTCTTTACCCCCCAGACACACACCCTTTAGTGCAGCTTCGTCTTTCTGCGTCCTCTCGGTCTCTCTCCTCTGCAACTCTGCTACGATCTCTGAGAACGATGGACGGCGCTTTGGATCCATCTGAGAGAGCGAGATGGACGGAGAGAGCGTTAGATGAGCGAAAGAAACAAAACAAAAAAAGAGTCAGTTTCTCAAAAGTCACAGGAGAAGGAATAAGGGGAAACGATAGGAGAGAGAGAGAAAAGGTATAAGAGGATTTGTGTGTTACGTTGCAGCAGCTGACAGCCAGACTCAGGAAGGCAGGTGGACAGTCTCCCACCATGTGTTGAAACGTCTCGACGTCCAGACCAAAGTCCTACAGACAGACAGAGAGAGCATCACACATCCCTCTCAGTGAAACAGAGCCCTAGGGAGACGCAGTCACTCATTTGCACAATAGAATAGAGACGATGCTGTCAGAGACTTCAATTAAAGTACTGCGACTTACTGCCTGAATAACTTTTTACACTGCAGTTACATACAATGGGCAGAAGAGGGAGACGTTTTAGCAAAGTCTCTACACTGCACAATAATATTGGGAAAACTGATTGTGTGAGCTAGTGTGTGTGTTGCATGTGTGTATGTTGTGTGTGTGTGCGTGTAGAGTGTGATGAACATACCTCTGTGCGTGGGAGGACGTCAGGGTCAGCCTGTATCCTAGCAATGACCTCACACAGGATGATGCCATATGCAAATACGTCCACCTTTTCGTTGTAGATCTCTCCTCGCAGCACTTCTGGTGCCATCCAGTAGGGCGAACCCACTACAGCCAAGGGCTGCTGGTCTGCCCCCTCCCTGAGGACAGAGACAGAGGAAGACAGGCCTGGGAATTATGACAGGCGATGACGTTAAGGTTAGGATTGTGGCGGGGGGGGCTGATCCTAGACCTGTAGCCTACCTAGGGGAAAGATCGACCCGGAGCAATTATTACAGGCACTACAGCTCACAGAGGTCAGCAGGTGAGACCGACACAAACAAGACTGGAGCTAGCAGCTAGTTTCATCACGCTCTAGCTCATTAACAACCATACGGGGTAAATGTAAATATGGGGTAAAACTAGTGTGTGTGTGTGTGTGTGTGTGTGTGTATAAAGGCAAAAAGGGGCAGGCACACAACACTGCAAGGCTCATGCTCTGATGACAAACACACGCACCAAGACACCAACACACCCCGCTGGCAGTCACTTCCTCTCTGCTATTTCCATCTCACTGTGGGCCATGATATTGCATAAATAGATAGGGCTGGGAATTGCCAGGGACCTCACGATGCGATATTATTACGATACTTCGGCGCCGATGCGATATGCATTTCAATTTTCACGATTCTATATGGATTGTGATTCAATAGTGCGATTCGATGTTCCAAACATATTGCTCGCTGCATATTTCTGCTTCAGAAAGACGAGAGCATGAGAAAACTATTTAAAAAGATGGAGAACAAGCTATAGGAAGAAAAATACCGGAGTTATGGCGCCAACGCTACCTACAGTAGCACATTTTTACTAAATCGATAATTGGGCTCAAAATATCGATATAATATCTTCCCAAAATAATATCGCGAAATGTAACTAACAATTCCCCCCCCCCCATCACTATAGTAAGGGAATTGATGGGGGCTGAGAGAGAGAGAGAGAAAGGAGGGAGCAAGCGATGGAGAAGAGAGGAGTGGAATGCAGACAGACATTCATAGCGCCCAGTGTAAACACCATATGGGGACTTGGAGGTGGGAGGGAGGGAGAGTCGCCAGTCAGGCGGCGAGAGCGGTAGAGAGGGAGAGAGCGGTATAGAGGGAGAGAGCGGTAGAGAGGGAGAAAGAGAAGAGAGAGAGAGTGTGCTGGAATAGTTTGACCTTATTTGGAAAGCTTTCCTAAACTCCCTTCATCTCTCTCTCTCTCTCTCACTTTCGCTCCCTCTCTCTCTCCCACAAACAAAGGCAGAGCTCTCACACACACAACAAAAAGATGTATAAAGGCAACACAAAAAAATACTCTGACAAGTGTATGCATGTTGATAAACGCAGCAATAGAGAAAGTTAAATCAACACACAGCAGATATTATGTTCACTGGTGCCAAATACTAACGTGTTCCACTGTCAAATCAATTTACTCACACCTAAAAGCATGCACGGTACATAAACAAGAACTTGTTGTGGGGCACCAAAACAAAGTGCCTGCACATACGCAAAAACACAAAGGTAAACACTGGGGTGACCGTAGACAGTGCGAGCGGAAACGGTACACACACACACACGGTCTGGTTAACGCAACAGCTGCCTCCAGTCAGACACAGGATACAGACCAATTTATCACGGTAAAGAGGCCAGGAGGGTAAGAGTGTTTTATCCAAGGTCAGTTTCGTGTCTTGGCCCTAATAGTTCAGTTTAGGATTTAGGGTGGGTAAGCTGATCCTGGACCTGTACCTAATATGAGCTACAGTGAGGGAAAAAAGTATTTGATCCCCTGCTGATTTTGTACGTTTGCCCACTGACAAAGACATGATCAGTCTATACATTTTAATGGTAGTTTTATTTGAACAGTGAGAGACAGAATAACAACAAAAAAATGAGGGAAATAAGTATTTGACCCCTCTGCAAAACATGACTTAGTACTTGGTGGCAAAACCCTTGTTGGCAATCACAGAGGTCAGACGTTTCTTGTAGTTGGCCACCAGGTTTGCACATATCTCAGGAGGGATTTTGTCCCACTCCTCTTTGCACATCTTCTCCAAGTCATTAAGGTTTCGAGGCTGACGTTTGGCCACTCGAACCTTCAGCTCCCTCCACATATTTTCTATGGGATTAAGGTCTGGAGACTGGCTAGGCCACTCCAGGACCTTAATGTGCTTCTTCTTGAGCCACTCCTTTGTTGCCTTGGCCATGTGTTTTGGGTCATTGTCATGCTGGAATACCCATCCACGACCCATTTTCAATGCCCTGGCTGAGGGAAGGAGGTTCTCACCCAAGATTTGATGGTACATGGCCCCGTCCATCGTCCCTTTGATGCGGTGAAATTGTCCTGTCCCCTTAGCAGAAAAACACCCCCAAAGCATAATGTTTCCACCTCCATGTTTGATGGTGGGGATGGTGTTCTTGGGGTCATAGGCAGCATTCCTCCTCCTCCAAACACGGCGAGTTGATGCCAAAGAGCTCCATTTTGGTCTCATCTGACCACAACACTTTCACCCAGTTCTCCTCTGAATCATTCAGATGTTCATTGGCAAACTTCAGACGGGCATGTATATGTGCTTTCTTGAGCAGGGGGACCTTGTGGGCGCAGCAGAATTTCAGTCCTTCACGGCGTAGTGTGTTACCTTTGGTCTTGGCCATGGTGGAGAGTTTGGAATCTGATTGATTGATTGCTTCTGTGGACCGGTGTCTTTTATACAGGTAACAAACTGAGATTAGGAGCACTCCCTTTAAGAGTGTGCTCCTAATCTCAGATCATTACCTGTATAAAAGACACATGGGAGCCAGAAATCTTTCTGATTGAGAGGGGGTCAAATACTTATTTCCCTCATTAAAAAGCAAATCAATTTATAACATTTTTGACATGCATTTTTCTGGATTTGTTTGTTGTTATTCTGTCTCTCACTGTTCAAATAAACCTACCATTAAAATTATAGACTGATAATTTCTTTGTCAGTGGGCAAACATACAAAATCAGCAGGGGATCAAATACTTTTTTCCCCTCACTGTATGGGCAATTTCTACATAGTTACCAGGACAATAACTCCTGTCATCAAGGAGAAGCTGATAGGATTAAAACACACACGTGCTGGTGATCTGTGTTCAACGCAGGCTGAAGCGATGAATAAAATATGAGGTGTAAATGTCAGCATCATTAATAAACTGGGGTTGGGTGGGGGTGTGAACGAACGACACTCCAAAACTTCCGCCCTCCCCATTCCTTCTCCCCTGAAACAGGGGCTTAATCACACAGTTTGACATAGCGGGTAAAGCGTAACTTCTTCAGGTGAAAGAGTGTCTCGCATTCTTTAGAAAAAAACGGACTGTGCTTTAGTGTGATTAGGCCTCCTAAGACACTGATCTAAGGTCAGTGTTGTGTTTTTTTTCTGTACACATACAGTGGCTTGCGTAAGTATTCACCCACCTTGGCATTTCTCCTATTTTGTTGCCTTACAACCTGGAATTAAAATTGATTTTGGGGGGGGGTGGGTTCCGCTAGTGTACAGCAATCTTTAAGTCATACCACAGATTCTCAATTGGATTGAGGTCTGGGCTTTGACTACTAGGCCATTCCAAGACATATAAATGTTTCCCCTTAAACCACTCGAGTGTTGCTTTAGTAGTATGCTTAGGGTCATTGTCCTGCTGGAAGGTGAACCTCCGTCCCAGTCTCAAATCTCTGGAAGACTGAAACAGGTTTCCCTCAAGAATTTCCCTGTATTTAGCACCATCCATCATTCCTTCAATTCCGACCAGTTTCCCAGTCCCTGCCGATGAAAAACATCCCCACAGCATGATGCTGCCACCACCATGCTTCACTGTGGGTATGGTGTTCTCTGGGTGATGAGAGGTGTTGGCATAACGTTTTCTTTGATGGCCAAAAAGCTCAATTTTAGTCTCATCTGACCAGAGTACCTTCTTCCATATGTTTGGGGAGTCTCCCACATGCCTTTTGGCGAACACCAAACGTGTTTGCTTATTTTTTTCTTTAAGTAATGGCTTTTTTCTGGCCACTCTTCCGTAAAGCCCAGCTCTGTGGACTGTACGGCTTAAAGTGGTCCTATGGACAGATACTCCAATCTCCACTGTGGAGCTTTGCAGCTCCTTCAGGGTTATCTTTGGTCTCTTTGTTGCCTCTCTGATTAATGCCCTCCTTGCCTGGTCCGTGAGTTTTGGTGGGCGGCCCTCTCTTGGCAGGTTTGTTGTGGTGCCATATTCTTTAAATTTTTTAATAATGGATTTAAAAATGGTGCGCCGTGGGATTTTCTAAGTTTCAGATATTTTTTTATAACCCAACCCTGATCTGTACTTCTCCACAACTATGTCCCTGACCTGTTTGGAGAACTCCTTGTTCTTCATGGTGCCGCTTGCTTGGTGGTGCCCCTTGCTTAGTGGTGTTGCAGACTATGGGGCCTTTCAGAACAGGTGTATATATACTGAGATCATGTGACACTTAGACTGCACACAGGTGGACTTTATTTAACTAATTATGTGACTTCTGAAGGTAATTGGTTGCACCAGATCTTATTTAGGGGCTTCATAGCAAAGGGGATGAATACATATGCACGCACCACTTTTCCATAATTTCTTTCATTTCACTTCACCAATTTGGACTATTTTGTGTGTCCATTACATGAAATCCAAATAAAAATCAATTTAAATTATAGGTTGTAATGCAACAAAATAGGAAAAACGCCAAGGGGGATGAATAATTTTGCAAGGCATGGAATGGTTAGGATTGGGGAAGAGGAAACTGATCCTACTGTAGAGCTGTGTCTACAGTACTCCTGATGGAAACACAACAACACTAGAGCTTACATTAACATAAAACACTGGCTGACTGTCTCAGAGAGAGAGAACAAGGTGAGAGAGAACGAGGTGAGAGAGAGAACGAGGTGAGAGAGCGAACACGAGGTGAGCGAGCGAACACGAGGTGAGCGAGCGAACACGAGGTGAGAGAGAGAACACGAGGTGAGCGAGCGAACGAGGTGAGAGCAAGAACGAGGTGAGAGCAAGAACGGGGTGAGAGCGAGAACGAGGTGAGAGAAAGCGAGTGAGACCGAGTGAGACCGAGAGCAGTAAAAAAGTAAGCTAGCAAGCTGGAGATAGAGAGAACGAGGAGAGAGAACGAGAAGAGAGAGAGAACGAGGAGAGAGAGATGGGGCGAGCGAGAGCAGGCGAGAGCTAACAAGCTATTGAGATGGAGAGAGAGAGAGAGGAAGGTAGAGAGAGGACGCAGCCATTCAAGTGTGTGATCTAATCAGTGCATGCTGATAGATGGATGATATATGGACTCAACTGACCTGTACTCTGGTATTTTCTCTGCCAGGCCAAGGTCCCCCACCACAGCCGTACACTGGCCGCTCTCCCAACGCACCAGGCAGTTCTACAGGACAGACAACCAGGAAGGAGGAGGTCAGGGCCCGTATTCACAAAGCGTCTCAGAATGATCTAGGATCAAGTCCCTCATGTCCATATCATTTTATTCATTATGATCCAGAAGGCAAAAATGATCCTAGATCAGCACTCCTACTCTGACACGCTGTTTGAAAATGGATCCTGGTTAATCCATTTATTATAATAGAGAACTGTGTGTACTTGAGTATGCACTACTGCGTTTTATGGAGTGTGTATGTACGTGTGGCGTGGGTGCATGCCCAAGTATGTATAATTACCAGACAAGTGTCCATATAAGTGAATGTACCTACGTGTGTGCGTGTTTATACACTGCTCAAAAAAATAAAGGGAACACTAAAATAACACATCCTAGATCTGATTGAATGAAATAATCTTATTAAATACTTGTTTCTTTACATAGTTGAATGTGCTGACAACAAAATCACACAAAAATTATCAATGGAAATCAAATTTATCAACCCATGGAGGTCTGGATTTGGAGTCACCCTCAAAATTAAAGTGGAAAACCACACTACAGGCTGATCCAACTTTGATGTAATGTCCTTAAAACAAGTCAAAATGAGGCTCAGTAGTGTGTGTGGCCTCCACGTGCCTGTATGACCTCCCTACAACGCCTGGGCATGCTCCTGATGAGGTGGCGGATGGTCTCCTGAGGGATCTCCTCCCAGACCTGGACTAAAGCATGGAGCGAGACATGATGTCCCAGATGTGCTCAATTGGATTCAGGTCTGGGGAACGGGCAGGCCAGTCCATAGCATCAATGCCTTCCTCTTGCAGGAACTGCTGACACACTCCAGCCACATGAGGTCTAGCATTGTCTTGCATTAGGAGGAACCCAGGGCCAACCGCACCAGCATATGGTCTCACAAGGGGTCTGAGGATCTCATCTCGGTACCTAATGGCAGTCAGGCTACCTCTGGCGAGCACATGGAGGGCTGTGTGACCCCCCAAAGAAATGCCACCCCACACCATGACTGACCCACCGCCAAACCGGTCATGCTGGAGGATGTTGCAGGCAGCAGAACGTTCTCCACGGTGTCTCCAGACTCTGTCACGTCTGTCACGTGCTCAGTGTGAACCTGCTTTCATCTGTGAAGAGCACAGGGCGCCAGTGGCGAATTTGCCAATCTTGGTGTTCTCTGGCAAATGCCAAACGTCCTGCACGGTGTTGGGCTGTAAGCACAACCCCCACCTGTGGACGTCGGGCCATCATACCACCCTCATGGAGTCTGTTTCTGACCGTTTGAGCAGACACATGCACATTTGTGGCCTGCTGGAGGTCATTTTGCAGGGCTCTGGCAGTGCTCCTCCTGCTCCTCCTTGCACAAAGGCGGAGGTAGCAGTCCTGCTGCTGGGTTGTTGCCCTCCTACGGCCTCCTCCACGTCTCCTGATGTACTGGCCTGTCTCCTGGTAGCGCCTCCATGCTCTGGACACTACGCTGACAGACACAGCAAACCTTCTTGCCACAGCTCGCATTGATGTGCCATCCTGGATGAGCTGCACTACCTGAGCCACTTGTGTGGGTTGTAGACTCCGTCTCATGCTACCACTAGAGTGAAAGCACCGCCAGCATTCAAAAGTGACCAAAACATCAGCCAGGAAGCATAGGAACTGAGATGTGGTCTGTGGTCACCACCTGCAAAACCAGTCCTTTATTGGGGGTGTCTTGCTAATTGCCTATAATTTTCACCTGTTGTCTATTCCATTTGCACAACAGCATGTGACATTTATTGTCAATCAGTGCTGCTTCCTAAGTGGACAGTTTGATTTCACAGAAGTGTGATTGACTGGGAGTTACATTGTGTTGTTTAAGTGTTCCCTTAATTTTTTTGAGCAGTGTATGATTGCTTCCTACCTTGGAGGTGAGGTCTCTATGGAAGATGCCTTTGGTGTGGAGGTACTGCAGGCCCCTAGCGATGTCTAGAGACAGGCCCATCCTGACTGACCACGACAGGTACCGGTCACTGTCCAGCAGCTGCTCCAGGTTACCCCCGTTGATGTACTGGAAGTAACCACGACAACCACACTCAGCCAAATGTCAATCAAAACAGGTGGCTGTTGTAACGATGACAACAGCACACAAGTGTCAATCAAACGACAGGTTTCCTTAACCTTTATTTATACAGGTTATTCTCAATTGAGATCAAATCTATTTTGGAAGAGAGATACAGGTCACTGTACGGTAACCATGACAATGGCACCCGTCAATCAAATGACTGGCTCTACTTCCGATTTTCCTCAGCCTAACTCTAACAACCATTCAGAAGGGAAGCATCAGGTGTTAAAGTATATTGAAAAAATATATAAAACGCAACATGTAAAGAGTTGTTCCCATGTTTCTTGAGCTGAAATAAAAGATCTTCGTCAGGGCAAACAAATGGAGTGCTCACTTCCCAAAATATACACATTTCACCTCACATTTACATTTGACATTTTAGTAATTTAGCAGACGCTCTTATCCAGAGCGACTTACAGTTAGTGAGTGCATACCTACAGTGAGGGAAAAAGGTATTTGATCCCCTGCTGATTATGTAAATTTGCCCACTGACAAAGAAATGATCAGTCTATAATTTTAATGGTAGGTTTATTTGAACAGTGTGAGACACAACAACAACAAAATCCAGAAAAACACATGTCAAAAATGTTAGAAATTGATTTGCATTTTAATGAGGGAAATAAGTATTTGACCCCCTCTCAATCAGAAAGATTTCTGGCTCCCAGGTGTCTTTTATACAGGTAACGAGCTAAGATTAGGAGCACACTCTTAAAGGGAGTGCTCCTAATCTCAGTTTGTTACCTGTATAAAAGACACCTGTCCACAGAAGCAATCAATCAGATTCCAAACTCTCCACCATGGCCAAGACCAAAGAGCTCTCCAAGGATGTCAGGGACAAGATTGTAGACCTACACAAGGCTGGAATGGGCTACAAGACCATCGCCAAGCAGCTTGGTGAGAAGGTGACAACAGTTGGTGCGATTATTAGCAAATGGAAGAAACACAAAATAACTGTCCATCTCCCTCGGCCTGGGGCTCCATGCAAGATCTCACCTCGTGGAGTTGCAATGATCATGAGAACTACACGGGAGGATCTTGTCAATGATCTCAAGGCAGCTGGGACCATAGTCACCAAGAAAACAATTGGTAACACACTACGCCGTGAAGGACTGAAATCCTGCAGCGCCCGCAAGGTCCCCCTGCTCAAGAAAGCACATATACATGCCCATCTGAAGTTTGCCAATGAACATTTGAATGATTCAGAGGAGAACTGGGTGAAAGTGTTGTGGTCAGATGAGACCAAAATGGAGCTCTTTGGCATCAACTCAACTCGCTGTGTTTGGAGGAGGAATGCTGCCTATGACCCCAAGAACACCATCCCCACCGTCAAACATAGAGGTGGAAACATTATGCTTTGGGGGTGTTTTTCTGCTAAGGGGACAGGACAACTTCACCGCATCAAAAGGGACGATGGACGGGGCCATGTACCGTCAAATCTTGGGTGAGAACCTCCTTCCCTCAGCCAGGGCATTGAAAATGGGTCGTGGATGGGTATTCCAGCATGACAATGACCCAAAACACATGGCCAAGGAAACAAAGGAGTGGCTCAAGAAGAAGCACATTAAGGTCCTGGAGTGGCCTAGCCAGTCTCCAGACCTTAATCCCATAGAAAATCTGTGGAGGGAGCTGAAGGTTCGAGTGGCCAAACGTCAGCCTCGAAACCTTAACGACTTGGAGAAGATCTGCAAAGAGGAGTGGGACAAAATCCCTCCTGAGATGTGTGCAAACCTGGTGGCCAACTACAAGAAACGTCTGACCTCTGTGATTGCCAACAAGGGTTTTGCCACCAAGTACTAAGTCATGTTTTGCAGAGGGGTCAAATACTCATTTCCCTCATTAAAATTCAAATCAATTTATAACATTTTTGACATGCGTTTTTCTGGATTTTTTTGTTGTTATTCTGTCGCTCACTGTTCAAATAAACCTACGATTAAAATGGTAGACTGATCATTTCTTTGTCAGTGGGCAAACGTACAAAATCAGCAGGGAATCAAATATTTTTTCCCCCTCACAGTACACACACATATATATTTTTTCTTCTTCATACTGGCCTCCCGTGGGAAACGAACCCACAACCCTGGCGTTGCAAGCGCCATGCTCTACCAACTGAGCTACACCGGACTACATGACCATTACGCATGGTGGGCGTGGAAACAATTCAATTCACTTTTGTGCACAATCATAATTAATCACAGAGGTACATATGGTCAATGGATTATATACATACAAATGGGTTCAAGTTAAAACCTAGGCAACAGTAAAAGATGATGTTGGAAACTGTTGGAATACTGGCCCATATGACCATTACGCCAGGAGGTACGGTGGCCGTAGATATCATTCAAAAACAATTTGTTCATCGCTATTAATTTGATATCAGTGAGATGGGCACATGTAGTGGTTACAGAATCTAATATATATATATACACAGTATATGTACAAAATGACCAAGTAGGAGACCTGGAAGTCAAGACAAATCAAAGTGACATATTCATGTAAGAAATGGTCTGATAAACTCTTGGGTCAGACCTTTAGGAGACATGGTGCACGAATACAATTCTCTTCTCAATAATAGATGAGCAGTATCTCCCCCCTCCTAGGAGTCTTAACATGTTTGATACCAATGTATCTCAGAGAGCTAATATTGTGACGAGCCTCCATTAAATGCACAGCCACAGGGTTTCTCTGGTCAAGCGTCCTGATATTACCCCTGTGTTCTGCTATCCTTGTTTTCAGAGCTCGTTTCATTTTTCCTACATAGCATAGGCCACAAATACCCTTGATCAGGTATACCACATTTTTTGTGGCTCACGTAATGATGCCCTTAATCTTGATGGCCTTGCCCTTGATAGGGTGATTGAACATAGTGCATTTGTTTGTAAAGTTACACTTGGTACATCGACCACATCTGTAATTACCGTCCGGTACATTGTCTAGGAAGGTGCTACATGGCACCGGTGGAAGATCAGACCTCACCACCATTTGATTGATGTTAGGGGCGCATCTGAAGACTACCCATGGAGGTTCTTTAAATGTATTTTCCAGTTGTGGATCAGTGCTTTAAGATGTGCCAGTGTTTTTTAATGATATGGACAAACGGTTTACCAAGTGGGGAGTACTGAAGGAAGCACTGAACGCTTTGGTCAGGAGGGCGGGGTGGTTTGGGCTTCAGGCTGTCGTACTGGGTCATATTTTTATAACGATCCCTTGCCTCTGGGTAACCCCGGTGTCTGAAACGCTCATCCAGACAGTCGGCTTGTTTGTCATAGTCACTCTGTGTACTACATATCCTGCATATGCGACTGACTTGTTCTTTCTTTGTTAGCCCGGCACCTAAGTTTTCATGGATGTGCATATGACCAAAAACTTTTCTGAAATAAAAGATCACAGAAATGTTCCATACGCACATTAAGCTTATTTCTCTCAAATGTTGTGTACAAATTTGTTTACATCCATGTTAGTGAGCATTTCTCCTTTGCCAAGATAATCCATCCACATGACAGGTGTGGCATATGAAGTAGCTGATTAAACAGCATGATCATTACACAGGTGCACCTTGTGCTGGGGACAATAAAAGGAGTCTCTAAAATGTGCAGTTTTGTCACAACACAAAGCCACAGATGTCTCAAGTTGAGGGAGCGTGCAATTGGCATACTGAATGCAGGACTGTCCACCAGAGCTGTTGGCAGAGAATGTCATGTTATTTTCTCTACCATAAGCCGCCTCCAATGTCATTTTAGAGAATTTGGCAGTACGTCCAACCGGTCTCACAACCGCAGACCACGCGTAACCACGCCAGCCCAGGACCTCCACATCCGGCTTCTTCACCTGCGGGATCGTCTCAGACCAGCCACCGACACTGAGGAGTATTTCTGTCTGTAATAAAGCCCTTTTGTGGGGAAAAAAAATAATTCTCATTGGCTGGGCCTGGCTCCCCAGTGGGTGGGCCTGGCTCCCAAGTCGGTGGGCCTATGCCCTCCCAGGCCCACCCATGGCTGTGCCCCTGCCCAGTCATGTGAAATCCATAGATTAGGGCCTAATTAATTCATTTCAATTGACTGATTTCCTTATATGAACTGTAACACAATAAAATAGTTGAAATTGTTGCATGTTTGTATTTTTGTCCAGTATTCTCTAGATCCTAGTCAGTCAGTCTACCTGAGTTTAAAGATACATCTTACCTCTGTCAATGCATGGAGTTGTCCCTCATTAACACACACCCCTACAAACCTGAGACAGGAGAGAGGAAGAGGTTTATAAAACATTATAAAAACGGGGTCATCATCGATAGCTAGGCTAGATTTATTTTATCATTTAAAACACAATACAACCAAATGTGGATAATGCATTTACATTCAGAGGATGACACAAAAAAAGTTGTGGTCCTCTTAAATAAATGGATTTTAAAAAACATACTATACCTTTACTACACAGTAGACCTAGCCTACTAGGCATACTTTGGTTACACATATAACGAAACAAAGGACCACACTGTCATAGTCTAGAGCATTACATGCAGACATGAAAAAAACATTACTATTGCGATCATTATTTTCAAATGAAGTTGTGGTCGGGCATGGCTTTGAGTTGCTGTGGTAGTTTGTTCCACTCAACAGCCCAGGTATATAAAAAGGTGTTCTTACCAGATAAACTTCAATTTTAAACAGGCAATATCAAAGTCTCTGGCTCTGGTGTTGTATTGGTAGACATCATACATGCGCATGACAAGACTTATAATGCGTTATAACTGCATGGTTCAAATTTGTGTGAGGAGTTGCCCTGTTGACCAAAGCTTTTAAATGGATATGGACAGCAAGTGTGTTTTAATAAAAGTCCAAAGACAGACAGACCTGAGTATGTTGGGGTGAGACAGGCGGTTCATCAGTTGGACCTCCCTCAGCATGTTAGCCCTGTTACTGGCCATGGTGTTCATCTTCAGAGCCATCACCTGGCCACTGATACGGTGCTGCACCTACACAGAGAGACAGGAGGAGAGAACCATCACTAGGGTCAGACCTCAGATGATAGACATTAGAAGACATTATGACACATAGCTAAGTTCGATACACCATTGGACATCGGGCAGCAGACTGTACTTACGAGAAAACAGAGCGTGAACTCGTAATTGGCCAAAATCTTTGGTTCCCAGTTCTAGTATGCATTTCCGCCCAACTGTTCTAGTGTCTTGGCCTGAGTGTTCCAGAGTCAGCTCTACTCTGGCCAAGCTGTTGGTGAGTCTGTCTGGTGGTCACCATGGTGATGTGTTTTCTCGTGTGTGATTGAGTTCCAAGGGGCTTTGACTCCTGCCCGTCTAACTAACAAACCATATAGACAACCACTAAGTACTCCAACAGTCCACAAAAACAATCCACTTAGTACTGTGAGTGGGAGTGTGTTACTGTCATGTTTGTCGGTATGTGGGAATGTGTTAATTTGTGTGTTTGTGTGAGTGTTACATTTGGTAGTGTGAGTGTGTGAGAGAAAAAGCGAGAGAGCGAGTGTTCATGTCACGTTTAGTGGTGGTGTGTGAAGAGACTAAAGGCGTTCGCATACTTCCCAGCTGAAACAGTTTGGAAGAGTTTGTGCATATGACGACATTTTGTACATTTATGTTCGTTTTGGTCTTTGGTAAGGTTTTTTTTGGTTGTTCGGGCAAACATTTTTTTCTCGAGGTAAGCCTAAGTCGGTAGCCGAAGTCTACGCCCCTTCGTCTGTGATTGGTCAACAGTAGGGATTCGTCAATAACGTCTATCATTCAACGAGACTCATTTTCATGCTTAAAATATCTTAGTTAGATGTAAAATTGCGCGACTAAGACCTCCTCTGCAAAAATGACAAAATTAATGACAGATTTCTTGAGTTATCTTAGATGAATTCTTACTACTTAGAGGAAGTGTCCCAAAATGGACAAACCGACTATAGCGTCGTTTTTGTACTTTTTTTTATTTTTTTTAGCAAATGTCTTTTAAGAGAGTATGCGAGCACACTCATTCGGGTCACAGCCAAACTGAGGCATGCTGACACCTTTACCCCCACACCAGTGTGTCGCCAGTGTTTAATGTAAACTCTAGTGCTATTGTGTTTACATCAGGAGTGTGACACTTAAGACTTGTGGCGAGCAGAATCAACAACCTCTGAATCATTCAAGACTGTTGTTTTGTGAGAAGGTGTTAAAGTTCACACTTGGGGCCTTGCTTTGTCCCCAATGAGAGCAGGTCCGCCGGAGCCATGGCCCAGTGAGCCACGGGTGCTGGCCCGCGTATTTGGAAACAGAAAAGTCTGAGCCTTTTGGGTAAAACACTGAGGTAAATCAGTGAAAATGTTGCAAGATATGGTGATATCATCACTATGACAGTGGCTTGGATATAAGCTAGCCAGTAGACCAGACAGACAGACACAAGTCAGGCCTCTTTTCTCTTAATTCAAGGCTTCAGTACTACCAAACTTACAGCATGCAGTCAACGAGAGTCAATGTTCGCGGTCGAGCAGATCACTTTTGTCAAGATTCTAAAACTACAGGGATACAAATAAAAGTGATGTTTGAGACCTCTCTAACCAATTAAATCGTACACGTTATGCTTTCAGTTTGTGAGTGTGTGATATCGGGTTATAGAACAGTTAATTTCAACATTTATACAGAGATAAATATCAATAACAATAGCAGCAATGTTGAATTGAGCCTTGCTGTTGGAAAACCACTACAGTGTCCAACATTCAGCGATCACAGATGCAACTACCCCGACTTTAGGTTTACTGCTCGAACACACCCAATCTCTATTAGGTCCATCCACTGCAGTCCATCCCTCAGGCAGTCAGAGAGACAGATAAAGAGTAAAAGGAGTAGAGAGACTGAAAAAACACTTTCTCCCCCCCCCCCCCCCTCTCTCACAGACACACACACACACACACACACACACACACACTCTCTGTTTCTGTCACACATACACAGCTGATGTATTGAGGCAATCTGTGCCTTTATACATCTATAAACAGCACTTACAGTAAGAGCTATGCAGTGTACACTGAAGATGAGCTCTGTTTATTCCCCCCCCCCCCCAATCTGATTTATAACATATTTCTACAGGATTTAACTACATTGCCAGATTTACAGGCCAGTGGCTCCCTCACACAAAGATGCACACACACACACACCATAATGCAGACATGAGCCAACTGCTGAACCAGCAGAACTGAACTGTATTAGGTAGGGCTGTACTGTCTGGGCTATCCATTTCATCCCATCCTCATGCAGAATTTCAGCTCAAATAAACAAGTGCTCAGTAATCATGGTTATAGGAATGTGTCCAGTGGCCACAAGCTAAAATAGGAGTACCATGGCAACGTGGTGTGAGAGTCTACCTCAGGTGTGTGTGTGTCAGAGCTCCATAATCACAGGTAAACAGTGAGCATGTGTGATATCAGCATTCCAGTGACAGGAACACGGAGACGGCCAATAAATCTGACTCTCACACACACACACACACACACTTGCGTGCAAAGTGCTGGTTTTAGCAGAGAAAAGGTCAGGGGCATCAATGGACACGTGCAGGGCCGTCTGTTATTGGCTGAATGGGCTGATGAGAGTCTGACTGAGTTATGGTGACCTATAGTCACACTGGAGAGAAACACAGAGCCAGAGAGAGAGAGAGAGCCAGAGAGAGAGAGAGACAGAAATGGGCATAGGCCAAAACCGACAGTGTGGCCTACATACGCCCTCTTTGGTTCTGTTTGACTAAAAGCTTTATTTTCTTGGGGACTTGGAGATGTGAGACCAGTGGATACATGTGGGGCTGCTCGCTTAGAACAGGTCCATCATATAACAGGCAGGGAGGTCCTGACTGACTGTCTTCCTGGGGAGCCTCTAAATAGAACATGATCCAGTGTCTAGACTCTCTAGACCAGGACCTGATACACTCCTTACTTACCTGGGTAAGCCGTTTAGTGTGTTGCACAACATCAGTACTGAGGTTCGCACACACTTGTGTTTACACGCAAAAACACACGCCCTACAACTCCTGTCTCTAATGCTATGACAGCCCTGCCCCCCTCTCGCTGTGTGTCTGTTTGGTAGGCCTTGCACGAACAAGTAAGAGCATGAAGCTCCAGGACATCAAAAGAAGCTCTCGCTCTACCTCTTTTTGCTTCACGGTAACACATTTCTCCCACTGCTCCACCCTCCCCACCTCTCTCTGGGCTTACTACCAGTCCCAGTCCCCCTACACAACCACCAGGACCACATCAGAGCAAAACATTTCGCAACGGAAAAAGAAAACAACAATTTCTTATCGGTAAAGTCCAGGTAGTCACCCCCTCATTTCCCCCCCCCCAGTTTTGAGCCAAATGAACACATCCTTGGCCTATGTATTTACCTACTGTACTGCTGAAGGAGGGGCCAGAGAACTGGCTGGGGCGTAGAGGGTATATGAAGCTCCTTACACGCTACATAACGTGGGGACACGGGGCACGTAAACACACATATTCACACTGAGCAAGGAAGAATGTCAAGAATGGCCAAGTATACTGAACAAAAATAAACGCAACATGCAACAATTTAAACGATTTTACTGAGTTAGTTCAAATAAGGAAATCAGTCAATTGAAATAAATTCGTTAGGCCCTGATCTATAGATTTCACATGACTGGGAATACAGATATGCATCCTTTAAAAAAAATGGGCCTCACAATGGCCCTCGGGATCTCGTCACGGTATCTCTGCATTCAAATTGCCATCGATAAAATGCAATTGTGTTTGTTGTCCGTAGCTCATGCCTGCCCATACCATAACCCCACCATGGGGGACTCTTCACAATGTTGACATCAGCAAAGCGCTCGCCCACACGACGCCATACACATGGTCTGCGGTTGTGAGGCCGGTTAGACATACTGCAAAATTCTCTAAAACGCCGTTGGAGACCGCTTATGGTAGAGAAATGAACATTCAATTATCTGGCAACAGCTCTGGTGGACATTCCTGCAATCACCATGCCAATTGCACGCTCCCTCAAAACTTGAGACATCTGTGGCATTGTGTTGTGTGACAAAACTGCACAGTTTAGAGTGGCCTTTTATTGTCCCCAGCACAATGTGCACCAGTGTAAAGACCATGCTGTTTAATCAGCTTCTTGATATGCCACACCTGTTAGGTTGATGGATATCTTGGCAAAGGATAAATGCTCACTAACAGGGATGTAAACAAATGTGTGCACAAAATTTGAGAGAAATAAGCTTTTTGGGCATGTGGAAAATTTCTGGGATCTTTATTTCAGCTCATGAAACATGGGACCAACACTTTACATGTTGAGTTTATATTTTTTTCAGTGTATGTGCACACGCATTTAAATACCAAGTATGTGCATATGTATTTAAATACAAAGTATGTGTTACATGCATTTCAAATATCAAGTATGTGCACGTGTATATATAGTCTATAACAACATGTGGAAAGAAAAAGGGAAAACACACAAGACATTTCTTTCCACAGGGCCGTGGGGTGAGACAGGGATGCAGCTTAAGCCCCACCCTCTTCAACATATATAGCAACGAATTGGCGAGGGCACTAGAACAGTCTGCAGCATCCAGCCTCACCCTTACTAGAATTTGAAGTCAAATGTCTACTATTTGCTGATGATCTGGTGCTTCAGTCACCAACCAAGGAAGCCCTAAAGCAGCACCTAGATCTTCTGCACATATTCTGTCAGACCTGGGCCCTGACAGTAAATCTCAGGAAGACAAAAATAATGGTGTTCCAAAAAAGGTACAGTTGCCAGGACCACAAATACAAATTCAATCTAGACACCGTTGCCCTAGAGCTCACAAAAAACTATACATACCTCGGCCTAAACATCAGCGCCACAGGTAACTTCCACAAAGCTGTGAACGATCTGAGAGACAAGGCAAGAAGGGCCTTCTATGCCATCAAAAGGAACATAAAATTCAACATACCAATTAGGATCTGGCTAAAAACACTTGAATC